TAGAATCATAATATTTTTAAAAACATTTTTATTGATTTTCAATATTTGAAATTCAGAGATGGATAACACACAAAACTAGAACATTTTAATTATGAATACAGAACTAGATGCAAATGGAGTGGTTTAGCAAGAGGAGTTAGGAGATGAGAGCAAGAGTGATGAAGGATGTCTCATTTTACACAGTGGGGAGTCAAGTGGTGCTGCATAAAATTCATGGCAAAAGAAAGCAGAGCTGGAAATATGTGCATCTAACCAAACCCTGGAGGGAAGGTCCCTTTCCTATAAACTTCTCATCTTTCATAGTAGGATTTGTGCCAGACACTGCTAGTTCTTCAATAACCACTTCCCTTTCTTCCTTTAGTTATAGAATCCTTACATCCCAGCTGGGCACCAGCTGAGTTCTATTTTCCAGCTTCCTTTGCAGCTACATGTGACCAGGTGAGCAAATTCAGGTAAACTTGATGTCAGTGGCAGTAATGTGCCTTTCCACTAGTTGGATTATGGCTGTGACCAGCCGTCTCTGACCCAGGCCAAGAGTTTTTCCAGAAATAATAGTAGCTAACATATATTATAGATGCTAACTATATGTCAGGCACTTTTCTAAGTGGTTTGCATATATTAACTCATTTAGCCTAATGAGGTTGTATATTTGTTTCCTATTGCTGCTGTAACAAATTGACCACTGAACTTGGTGACTTAAACAACACAAATTCATTCTCTTACAGTTCTACAATCCATGTGTTGGCCGGGGCTGCTTCCTTTGGAGACTCAGGGGAAAAGCCATTTCTTTGCCTTTTTCAGCTTCTCGTGGCCACCTGCATAGCCACCCATTGGTTGTGAGTCTTTCCTCATGTCACTACACTCTCTTCCTTCCATCATCACATGTCCTATTATGACTCTGATTTCCTGCCTCCCTCCTGTGAGGACCATGCAATCATACCAGGGTAATCCAGGCTAATCTTCTCATCTCAAAATTCTTAATCATTTCTGCAAAGTCCCTTTTGCCATTTAACATATCCACAGGTTCTGGGCATCAGGACGGGGACATTATTCAGCCTATCATAGAGCTGGCAGAAGTGACGAGGCCAAGATCACCCAGTACACGTAGACGCACAGCTGGCAATCTAACCCAGCTTTTCTGGCCCCAAGTCCCGTGCTCCTAACCTCCCCTCCACACCAGACTCATCGCAGTGTGCGGTTGGGTTGGTTGGTTTGTTCTGTAGGTTCTTGTGCCTCCTGTCCCCCCTCCAGCCACTGCAAGCTTCATCCTCCTGCATGTGACACCTCCCGCCAGTCTGCTACCCGAGGGCCTCCCCAGCCTAAGCAGGAGGCCCTATCTCTGCAGCTGACCTGGCCGGCAGTGTTTGCTGAGTGTGTGTGTGAGTAAGCGGACAGACGGAAGGCTGCTGCCAGCTCCTTCTCACTTGCTCCCCTCCCGCCGCTGGCTTGGAGGTGCTGTCTAGCTTTTGGAGTCACTGAGGATGCCTGACTCGAAGTCCCAGGCTCCTGCTCTCTGTAGGGGTGCTGGTCCCCTTCAAGCCACCCACATGCTGAAGGAGGGGGTCTTCCTTTGGAGAAGGGGTGCGTAGACTGAGGGCCCAGCCTGACATGGGGACACAAGGTCTCTGGGTCCCTCCCCTGGGCATGAGCTCCCAGAGGCCAGTGCTGTTGGGCCCAAGGACCACAAAGCCGCAGCTTCCCCAGGGCTTCCCTAGACTCAGCCCGCAGAAGCCCCCTGTCGGCCCCACAGCCTGCCGGGCCTCCCTGCCCCACCCGCACGCTGCTGGGCGTGTGGTCTCTGTGCCTCTGCAACGCGCCTCTGCCCTGCCCAGAGTTTTCCACCCACAGTCCCAGGTCTGAAGCAGCATTAGCAAGTTGGAAATCCAATTGCCTTTCAATTACTCTAGTCCTAGCCAGACAGAGGTTACTGTAAGTCACATCGGAAGGGGGAGGGAGGAGGAGGTAGCACCTGGGGCCAGGGCCCAGCTGACACTTGAAGATGGATGTGACAGGGACCTGTGGCTCAGAGGCTCAGGATTAGATCAACAAGGCTGAGGCTGGCTGGTTCCGGGAAAGAGGTCTTGTAGGCCCTGGCTGACAGACAGCTCAGGCAAGGCAAGGGCTCCAGGCCAGGCCTTCCTGGGCAGAGGAGGCGCCAGGGCTGAGGGTCCAGCCCGGAGAGGGAGGGCCTGAGGTCCCCGGGTCCCTCCCCTGGGCATGGGCATTTTGGCAGGAGTTCCCAGAAGCCAGTGCTGTTGTACCCAAGGATCAAAATCCCACGGCTCCCTGTGGGTCTTGCAGAGCAGCTCTGGCTCCCCTGGGGCCCAGGATTTTCTGCAAACATACACCCACTCTCCCGCATGCCCATGCAGGCCAGATAGCCAGCCTCTCCCACCCGCAGCACTTACTCATGATCCCTTGTCCTGGGGATCAGCCACCTTTGGGGTACCAAGGGCCGGGGGCTGGCAATTGAGACCTCTCTTAAGGGAAGGTGAGCCTGGCTCTGCAAAATCGGATGTTATCAGTGGGAGGATTCTCAGCTGTGGGTCCTTCCCTGCACAGAGACGGCCCCCGCCATGTATAACGATCACAGGAGGCCGGGGAGCTCCTTGTTCACTCCAACCCAGGGGTCTGGGAGGCCTGAATGACGAAGTCCGAACCCCGGGCCGGGGCCGAACCCGGGCCGCCCCCGGCCCAACCGGGGCCCCACTGCCCACGCAGACACACACGGATCTGAACCTTCCGCATCATTGGCTGTACCTTGTTTGCCGCAGCTGTCATTTGCCTGTCCCTGCACGATCTACCTCCCATCCCCCCACAGGCAGCAGCCCCCTCCCCAGCCCCTCCATAGCAAACAGGCACAGTTCCAGATTGGGGGGGGGCGTCAATCTGGGGGGATCTGATGAGTCATTGCCATGGGAACAGATGTACCAAGTTCCGTGTACGCACATTTGCAGAGCCACGGACACAAAGGCGTGCCCACACTCACAGGGAAACACGCTGGGAGACCAGTGCTAGTCACCACAGTCGCACATGCAGATCCACCCCCGCCCCGACACACACACATTCCTCATAGACACAAACACCAAAACACACGGACAAATCAAGACCCAAACAGACGCATCCCACCCAGGTGACTCCCAGTCATCAACCCAGAGCCTGTCCCCTACCCATATGCACAGACACAAACACACACACACACACATTCACACACTATTAATAGAGTCCCTAAACACACGCTCACAGCCCTCACTGGATTTCAAGACTCAAACACAAACAGGCACATATGCACATGCGTGCAGATGTGTACATACACCCGCACGCACATGCCAGCCCCTCTTCTGAGTCCCCCAACCATCGCCCTACCTTGGCCAGCGCCTAGGGCAGGCAGGACAGAGTTCTGGAACCACAGGGATGCTATGACCCATCACCCACCAGGAGGATGCCATAGCTGCCCCCAAGGACAAAGCTCTGCCTTAGGTTGGGCTTCAGTCCTCCCTCCTGTCCCGCAGAGGTGAAGGCCACTGGCCTTATCCCTTGTGCAGCCCCAGCTCCCCTCCCACAGGTTCTGTGCCTGGCAGGGCTTCTCCAGAGCCTTTGAAAGGGCTTTGTCTGTGACAGGGAAGGTGATGGTTACATCTCAGGAATCACCTCCCAGGAGGGAAGGAGAGTGAGTCTCAGAGAGTGGGAGAGGAGGGTGGGGTTTCGCGTGTTAGGAAGTCCTGTCCTTAGGCAGGGGACGGCCAAAGTGACTGCCTGATGCCTCAGGAGGCCACCCTTCGCCTACTGTGATTCCCAGAGGGCCTCCCTCCAAACCTTCACCCCTGCTGTTTCCTCTACCTTGAGAACCACAATCCCACGGCAGGGCCACCTTCCTGCTCATCAGGTCTCCATGGAGATGCTCCTGTTCCAGGAAGCCTGTCCTGATGCTCTGGCCGAGTCCATCTGCCCTTTTGTGCCCCACAGCCCCCAGGCCCCTCTGGAGCTCCCCTGACACCACAGGTCAACTGTCTGGCTGTGCACCTGCCTCCCTGCAGCTGAGACTCAGGAAGAGAGACTCAGGAAGACAGGGAGGGCAAGGGAGGCTGGTGGATCTGAGAGGAGCCTGGGCTTGGATGGCAGCTCTAACTCTGCTGTGTGACCTTGGGCAAGTCACTGCCCCACGTGAGTCCAGTGTCCTCATCTGTAAAGTGCAGACAATAACTACCTCACCATTGTGGAGATTAAATGAGACCATGCATGGCGTGCACTGTACAAGTGGGAGCTGTATTATTATAGCTCATTGCCTGACACACGGCTTAATAAATAGTATTTGTTGAATTAATGACACACCTCCCTTGCACCTCGCGTCCTTGTCTTTGGAGGGGGAAAGTAGTGTGAACAAAAAGAAGGATCCGAGGCAGATAGAATTGAGGGCTGGGAGATGGGCGAGCAGGGCTTTCTGGCATCGCTGGGAGCTGGCTGTTCCAGCAGCATCCGGAGCTTGGCTGGAGGCGGTGCAAGCAGTCCTCCCTCTCACCGCTGTGACCCACCTGTGCCATCGTCCTCGTCAGCTAGGTGAGGCAGCGAAGGGGGTGGGGCTGGGTTTCATCTCTGCACTGTGGCCCCCGAAGCTGCCCGGGCCCGCGGGCACACGCTAGGTGTGCCCTGAGCGCGGAGTGGCCAGGGGCACGAATGTTGAATGGATGCGCACGGTGTGAATGAGCGCAGGGCGTATGAATGGATGGACGCGTGAAGTGGGCGGCGAGGAGGCACCTGCGTCTCCCTCCGCGCTCCGGGTCTCAGGGCTGGGACACACTGCGCGGAGACCTCCGGGGGCTTCCTCCCAGTGCGGCCCCTCCCGCCTGCCCCCTCCCCGCGGCGCGCAGCCCGGCGGAGCCCGCGCACAGCACAGCCCGCCCTGGAGCCGGGCCAGCGCGCAGCCCCGCGAGCTGAGGCAGCGCAGCCGTGGGAGGGGGCTGCCCCGGCCCCCTCCCCCAGCCCCGGTCCCCCTGCAGGAAGGCGGAGTCCCGGGTGCAAGGTCAGGGGACCAGCAGCCGAGAACGCCTGGGTCCCGGAGCCAACAGGTGCGGGGCGTGGGGGACCCCCAGGCGCAGGATGGGGGTTCCCAAGGACGTGCGGCGAGGGATGGGGGGAGCCAAGGGGTAACCTGGGTGCTGTGAGACTGAGTCTCCAGCCGGCTCTGCCCTCCTCCAGGCAGGCTCCTGAGGAACCTCTAGCCCCTCTTCCTCCCGCCCCTGGAGGCCCCCGCAGCCCCCGAGGGGCAGGGAGGTCCCGCTGAGGGAGCGGGTCCGCCGGCGCTCGGTGGGAAGCAAAGGAGTCCCCTGTCCCTCCCCCAGGGGTCTCCAGGGACCGGCAACCCTCCCGCCCGCGTCTGGGGTCGTCGCAGCAGAGCGAGGGAGGGAGGGGTCTGCGGGCAGGAGGAGGGAGGGCGGGGAGAGAGGCCGGATTTATGAATGGAGCGCGGCCTGCGCGCCGGCCCAGCGACTCCTGGCGGCCGCCGGGAGCATCTCGGCCCCGGGGACTCCAGGGGGCCTGGCAGGGGGCCTGGCAGGGGGCCTGAGGGCCGGGCTGCTGGGCCTGGGCTGTGTCCTCGTTCTCAAGGAGGTTGTCAGTTCTGTCCCACACGCGCTGCCCCCCAACCCCGGCTGTGTGTGTGTGTGCGCGCGTGTGTGTGCGCGCGCCCACCGGGGAGGGTCTGGCGGGTCTAGTGGGAGGGGCCTGGATCTCTAATACCTCCCTGTACCCCTTTTTTCCAACCAAAAATTAAGGACTATGAACTAGCTCACGAGAGAATATTTGCAATCGGAGTGGCTTCCCCTCCCATGTCTGTGGTGTTTGATGGGTTCAGACAGACCTGGCTTAGCAGCTTTGTGACCCTGAGCTAGGGGGCGCAACCTCTCTGAGCTTCCGTCTCATCTGCAAAGCAGGACTCCCTAATCATGGTAACCAGCAGTCCCTGAAGTCGCCTTCCCTTGCCAGGGTCCTGGTGACGAGCATTCGAGCTGGAACTCATCGCCACAGTCCTGCGAGGTAGGTACGGTTACTGCTCCCGGGACAGATGGGAGAACCAAGGCTGAAAGAGGCAAGGATGTACCCAAGGGCAACCTGTGTGGAGCCGGGATGCAACCCAGGTCTTGCTTCAATGATGTCACGACCCTGAGACTTAAGAGGGAGCTTATATGCAAATACCTGGCACACTCCCTAATGTGTCCTTCCTTCTTTCCTTCCTTTCCCCACCCATCCCTCCCTCCCTTCCTTCCTTCAGGAAGTGGGTCTAGGACCCCACAAACCTGGGTGCAAGACCTCAAGGGTGGCAGGCTGAGGGCTGGCCCGGGATGCGCCCCAGCTGCCACGGTTCCTGAGCTCATGGAGCCCTCCGCCACCGCAGGGGCCCAGATGGGGGTCCCCACTGCCAGCGGGGAACCGTCCCCGGTGCCTCTAGACTATGAAGACGAGTTTCTTCGCTATCTGTGGCGTGATTATCTGTACCCAAAGCCGTACGAGTGGGTCCTCATCGCAGCCTACGTGGCTGTGTTCCTCGTGGCCCTGGTGGGCAACACGCTGGGTAGGTCTAGGTCTTGCCCTGTGGTGCTGCAGCCTGGAGGGGGTCCTGGGCCTCGCCTGCGCCCACCCCCGCCTGCCCTTACCTCCAACTCCAGGGGTAGTGGGAGGGGCGGGGGCTGGCTGGTGGGGCGGGGCTAGGGTGGGCGTGGCTCTGCCACCCGCTTGACCTCACCCCGACCCCACCCTGCAGTCTGCCTGGCTGTGTGGCGGAACCACCACATGAGGACAGTCACCAACTACTTCATTGTCAACCTGTCTCTGGCTGACGTGCTGGTGACAGCCATCTGCCTGCCAGCCAGCCTGCTAGTGGACATCACCGAGTCCTGGCTCTTTGGCCATGCCCTCTGCAAGGTCATCCCCTACCTACAGGTGAGCTCTGCCCCACCCTTCCCCACTCCCTGTCACACCTGCACAAACCTTACGGCCTTACACAGGTCTCAGTGACCCTCAGACTTGCCTTCCAGACAGGTCACAGTGGCTCAAGACCTCTTTAGTGTCATTCTCTGCTGCCAGCGAGGGTGGGCCACCGGGTCAGACACTCAGGACACAGACACAGCCCCACATACTCATACAGCGGTCCCCTCCTGGTCACACGCACAGGCATATACATGGACACATGCAGATGCATACAGTCACCTCCAGGTGCATGGGCACACAACAGAGGAGAGGGGCACAAGCCCACAGTGACACATATACAACATGCCGGGCCCGCTCCCTGATCCCAAGGGGGGAAGATCTGGGGGGGCCTGGTGGAAACAGCCTGCTCCCTTCCCTCCCCCAGGAGTAGGAACCAGGATGTCCAGATGGGGTTAGTGGGCTGGAAGAAGGGCTGGCCAGAGGCCAGTGTTTACTCTCCGTTGTACCCTTCCACCCTCTCCCTGCACCCCAGAGAGCAGGGCACCACTGGAGACAGTGCCCACACACACTTCTGGCTCAGAGTCACCTCTGCCTCCTGGAGTGAGGACTCCTTTTCCTAACAGCCTGGGGAAGGGATGGCACCCCAGGGCAGAGAGAAATGCCTCCTGGACTTCCCACTATTTGGAGGTTTTCTACTCACCTGATTAATTCTAGTGACCCTGAGCATGGGGATTACAGACAAGTGAGGTCCGTGTCTCACCTACATGGGGGTAATAGCCCCCACCTGGTAGGGCTGTTGTAAAGATAATGAGAACAGTGCCTGGCACATAGTAAGTTCCATAAATGTATGCTATTATTCATAGTACGGGGCACCTACTATGTGCCAGGCCTGGAGCGGGGTGTTTTCCGTACGTTATTTCACTTACTCTCCTAAGAATCCTGCCAGGTAGACGGTATATTCCTGTTCTGCGGATGAGGCTCTGAGAGGGTGAGTGATTTGCCAGTAAGTGGTGGAGTCAGGATTTGCACCGCACCTGGCTCCCTGGTATCCCTGTGCTGTGAGCCTTGTCACTCACCCACCCCCATGTCTGAGTGGCCCCCAAAAGGACTCACGTTGCGTCCCCACGGGGCAGGCCGTGTCCGTGTCTGTGGCAGTGCTGACTCTCAGCTTCATCGCCCTGGACCGCTGGTATGCCATCTGCCACCCGCTGTTGTTCAAGAGCACGGCCCGGCGCGCCCGTGGCTCCATCCTGGGCATCTGGGCCGTGTCGCTGGCTGTCATGGTGCCCCAGGCTGCTGTCATGGAATGCAGCAGTGTGCTGCCTGAGCTAGCCAACCGCACACGGCTCTTCTCTGTCTGCGACGAGCGCTGGGCAGGTAATGTTGGAGCCTTGGGCAGGCATCCCTAAGGTGGGCAACTCTGGGATGCTTACCCCTTGGGCAGGTGTCTATTAGGGGCACTTCCAGGGTGGGTATGCCCCTAGAGGACACTGGGCATCTACCAGGGATACGCCCAGCATGGGTGTCTCCTCTAGTGTAGATATCTGGTAGGGGTCCTTCCAGGATGGACACCCCCAGGTTGGGCAACTCCAGGGTCTCTGTCTACCTTGATGCCTGTATGGGGTCCAGCTGCCCCTAGGCCTTGCTTTGGCCCTATGTGGGACAGGGTGGCAATGCTAACCAGGGCAGGCTGGGGCTTGCAGAGGGGTCTGATACTTGCTTCTCTTGGCCCTGCAGATGACCTCTACCCCAAGATCTACCACAGCTGCTTCTTCATTGTCACATACCTTGCCCCACTTGGTCTCATGGCGGTGGCCTATTTCCAGATCTTCCGTAAGCTCTGGGGCCGCCAGGTGAGGCCCACTCTGGTGTCACTGTCTGGGCTAGGCGGGGGCGGGGCTGCTGGTCTAAGGGAGTGTTCTGCCTTCAGAACCTGCCATCCTGGCTGCAACCAGAGAGAGACAAAGCCCAGAGACACATTGAACTCAAGTTCGAAAGTGCTAGTGGCTACCTGGAATAGCAGAGTAACTCACGCCCTGCTCCGATTAGCAGCTGCCATTTACTGCGCCACTCACACCCAGCTGGTCTTGCATCCTCTTACCACCCTATATTAATGTCATCCCCCACCTACATATGACAAAACCAAGACCCAGAAACTTCCCTCAAATCACTCAGTTAGTGGGTATCAGATCAGGGACTAAAACCCAGATCTGTGGGATTCCAATGCTCAGTTTACACAATAATAATAGCAACTCCATGTTACTTGCCAAATTAGGCACTTTGCATTGATGTCTTAACAACTATCTAACAAAAGAAGCAATTTTACCGACTTCACAACTGCCTGATAAGGGCAACAAACTTGCCAAAGCCAGTGAGTGGCAGAGCCCTTCTGCTTCTGGGCATGTCTCCATATAGACTGCCCCACAGTGCGTTTCAGGGGGTTTTGTGGGGGCGGGGTGCTCAGGGGCCCTTGGTGCTAGCTCAAATGAGTCTTGGGTCGGTGCCTGGGCAGGGGGAGGATGCAGGCCAGAACACGGGCAGGCTGGGGAAGGAACGTTCACACACATTCCACATCACCTACACCCCGCAGACGGTTCTGCCTCGCACCGGGCCATGCAGGGCAGTGGGTGGGGAGAGCACTGGCTCACACCCAGCCCCTGCCTTGGAGGAGCGCCCAGTACTGCGGGGCCCTTCCTGGCTGGCCAGCCTTGCAGTCCACCAACACTTGCATCTGCTCCTCACAGACCCCCAAAGAGCGGGGCACAGGCACTATCCAGACGGGAAACCGAGGCTTAGAAAGGAAAGGGAGTTGGCTGGTGAATGTCTGAGCTGGCCCTGGACCCCAAGTTTCCTGAACTCTAGCCCCATGCCCCTCTGTGGCGGGGTGATGTGGGGGTCTAGTGGTGGGAGAGGCTTTGAGGATGTCTGCAGCTGCTCCAGGAGCCCAGAACCACCCAGGCTTATAGGCATTGACCCAGGTGGGAACCCGCGCTCTGAGGTCCAGGCCGTTCCATGTTGCCCACCTGCCCACCCCTCCTTGCCCAGGCCTCCCCCAGTGTGGTTTGAGCCAGGGAGGCCCAACTCACTCCCACCCCTACCCCCCAAAGATGGAGCTGGAGATTTAAAGGTGATGGATGGGCAGCTGTGAGGATGTTCAGACCCCAAGTTGTGGCCTGGGGCCTTATCAAGAGTCCCCCACCTTTCTGAGTCTCAGTTGCCTCATCTATGACTAAGAGCCAACATTCCTTTCCAAAGGCATGTTGTAGGAGGTTGCAACATGAGCTCATGGAAAATGAAAGTGCACTGTTCACTCTCAAGTCTGAGAGTTAGTCTTTATCATAAATATTAGGTCCCTTGCTATTGCAAGGGACTGTTCCCCTTTGCCCAGCTCCACCCTGCCCCAGTGTCCAGCCCAGAGTGGGCCAGCCAAAGACAGCAGCGCTCCTAAGGGTGATGCCCACTGCTGCTGTCGTGTGTGCTGGACAGATCCCCGGCACAACCTCGGCCCTGGTGCGGAACTGGAAGCGGCCCTCAGAGCTGGAGGACCAGGGGCAGCGCCTGAGCACAGAGCCTCAGCCCCGGGCCCGTGCCTTCCTGGCCGAGGTGAAGCAGATGCGAGCGCGGAGGAAGACGGCCAAGATGCTGATGGTAGTGCTGCTGGTCTTTGCCCTCTGCTACCTGCCCATCAGTGTCCTCAATGTCCTCAAGAGGTGAGAGCACGGGGTCGTCAGGGGTGGGGAGAAGTTTTGGGGTCAGAGGAAGGGGCTCTCCTTGCTTTGGGGAAAGACCTGGCTGTACCACATCTCCACTGTGTGACCCTGGGAGGCAGGTCGTTTCTCTTCTCTTCATTTGTAAAATGAATGGAAATTCACACATTCATTCACTCAACCATCAGATTTTATGGGGCTGGTACAGTGAACAAGTGCATAAGATGGACAAGTAAGTCCCTGCCTGCATGGAGGCTACAGTCTGGTGGGAGAGAAGGGAAGGGAAGTCAGTAGAAAAATCCATGTGTATGAGGATGTCAGGCAGTAATAATTGCTATGAAGAAAAACAAAACAGGGAAAGAGGGTGGACAGTGACAATGACAGGGGCTGGTGGGGTCTGGAGTTTTGTTTTAGATATAATGATTTTTTTAGCAAAAGCCCACTCCAAGGAAATGACATGTGAGCAGAGACTTGAAGGAAGTGGGAAGAAAGAGCCATGCAGGTGTCTGCAGGGACTCTAGGCGGAGAGACACTGGGACACAGCAAATGGGTGACATAGGGTGCCAGGGAAGGAACATGGCCTACTGGACAGGAGACAATCTCACTTGGAGCTTGTGCTCGGCTAGTTCCTGGCTGTGTGATTTGGGGCATGTCACTTTACTTCTCTGAGCCTCAGTTTCCCCGAGAAATGGAGGATGTTTGTGACTCATGTTGCTGCAAGGGTGGATGAGAAGTGGCTGGGGATCCTCCCAGGGGATCAGATAGCCAGTGACTGAGCAGATATACCCTGGTGCCTGTCCCCAGGCCCACTGTGGTCACACGCTCTGTGCTCGAGGCCCCAAAACTGGTGGAGATCTCAGATCCAGAGGCCCAGGAAAGGGCTGCCCAGTGGACGGAAGGGTGTAGTGGGAACTCCTGCACTTTATAGCTTGAGTTCTAACAAGCAGCACCCTCCCAATACACACATACACAGCTACCCCATTTCTGACTGCTGTCCATCTGGTCCTAGGGTGTTCGGGATGTTCCGCCAAGCCAGCGACCGAGAAGCTGTGTACGCCTGCTTCACCTTCTCCCACTGGCTGGTGTACGCCAACAGCGCCGCCAACCCCATCATCTACAACTTCCTCAGTGGTGAGTGGGCTGGCGAGGCAGTGACTGAGGGTGGCCAATAGTCCCAGGGACAGGTCTCCCCATCCCCAACCCAGGGCCCAAATAAAAGATGGGGGGTTGAGGTGTACCTGCTGTCTGCTGGCACTGTGACTCTGCTCTGGAAGCCTCACTCAGAGGAGCTCTGGTCCGAGTGGGAGACAAGCCACACTCCCAGCAGTGGCCAGCACCCAGGATCCCGTCTGGCAGATTCTGCAGACCAGTGAGTGGAAGGGCAGGGGCTAGGCCAGCTGCCTCTACTTGCACTCGGGTGCAGGCAGAGCAGGACCTCCGATCGGCCCCTCTGGATGCCACGGGCAGCGGAGTCTGTCTTCCCCAGAGGGAGCCCGGCCTGTGGGAAGAGGGCCCGGGAGCCCTGGCCTGAGGGGATGATTGCACAACCCGGGTAAGGGAGGGTCACCAGCAGAGACAGCCCAGGCCTGGGACAGGGCTTCCCCTGCCCAGCTAGACACACATGGGCAGAGTGGTCAGAATCTTGGGGGCTGTCCCTGGAATCACCTGCCTCCCACACCAGCCCTCCCACTCTCCCCTCTGTAAGTCCTGGACCCCTAGTTCCCGACTCCCACTCCAGGCCTCCTCTCTCTGCTGTGCCACAGTTCCCATCCCTTCCTGCCACCTCCCAGTCACATGGTGGTAATGGCCCAGCACCGTCCCCGCTACACCCATCCCCCCAGCTCGGCTCAGCTTAGCAGAAGTGTGACTCACCAGGCCTCTGACTTTGGGACTAGGCTTCTAAAGAACTGGTCCAGATGACTGTTCAAGCCTGGACACAAATAATCTTTGAGAAATTATTAAAAAGTTAAAGAAGGGATTGGGGTCAGCAGTATAACCCTCATTGAGACTCACGAATTACTCAGCAAAGCCTGCCCGCTGGTTTCCAGCTCAGAAGAGAGCAGGGGAGGGGAGGGCAGCAGACGCCCGGATGCACGTGACTTGTCTGGCCTACATTTGCTGAGGACCTACTGTGTGCTTGCCAGCGCTGGCCAAGGAGAGGCTGGCAGGCTGATGACACACGATCACGGAAGTTTCAGTTCCAGACAAAATCTGTTTCCCTGGGATACACGGGCTGAACAGGTGGTGTAGTGGTCCCTCCTTCCCCACTCGGTCCTCTCCTTTAAAAGGGCTTTGGAATTAGTTAGAACCAGGTTTGGCTCCTGACTGGGTGGCCTTGGGCAAGTTACTGAATCTCTATGCGGTCTCGTCTGTAAAGTGAAGATAAAAGACTCAAACCTGTCGGGGTGGTGGGATGCTCTAGGGGACAGAGGCTGAGGCACCCAGCACAGTGCCTGGCACAGCATGACTGCCATACGCAAGGTGGCATCTGCTATCATTTTCATCATCATAGGGCAGAGATGGGAAAAACCTAGCAACAGCTAGCAGGCCCTGATCCCTCTCCACGTACACACCAAAGAGGGCAGAGGTGACCCGAGGCCCCTGAGCCAGACACCACGTTTGAGCCAGGCTCTGAGCCAGAGTGCAGTCAAGGAATCAGATGACAATTGCATTTCTCCTCGGGAACCTCTGTCCTCACTCTCCCTGGCAGAGGTTGCCTGGGGCTCTCCATCCCAGCTTTACCCCTCCCTCTCTGCCCTCTCTCAGGCAGTTTGGCTGGAGCTGCGTGGGTGGCCCTGGGCTCAAGGCCCTTTCCTGCTGCATTTGTCTCCTTATGGCTGTGTCTTTTGTCTCCCAACCAAGGCAAATTCCGGGAGCAGTTTAAGGCTGGCTTCTCCTGCTGCCTGCCTGGCCTGGGTCCCTGCGGCTCTCTGAAGGTCCCCAGTCCCCGCTCCTCTGCCTGCCACAAGTCCTTGTCCTTGCAGAGCCGGTGCTCCGTCTCCAAAGTCTCTGAGCACGTGGTACTCACCAGCGTCACCACAGTGCTGCCCTGAGTGAGGGCTGCCTTGGAGGCTCCAGCTCTGGGGGTGCAACCTGTTCCCTGCCCAGGCTGCTCTCTGGCTCCTGGGGGATCCACTCATACCCCTCAAGGAAAGACTGCTGGATGTGGTGAGAGGCCTGGGCTCCAGTGCTGGCTTTCTGCCTGTGTGACTCTGGGCAAGTCACTTCCCGTCTGAGCTCAAGGCCCCTAAGCAGGGTTGATGTGAGGATTAAGCATGCTCAAGAAAGTGGAAAGTTCTCTGTAAACTGTGAAGTATTGTGAACATGATTACTGTACTTCTCTCACTTGGCCATACCCCAAGGTATCATCCAACCCCATTATCCTTCTGGGGCCGGGCCTTCCTCCCAGAGACCCCTTTCCTACCCGATTACAGGCCTTCCTTGGGGTCTGCTCTAAAAATCCCAACAGGCATTTCCATCTGGTCCAGTGGCTCCCTAAAGCCCAGGGCTGCACTTGGCCAGCTGCTCAGATGCTTGTGTGAACTAACCCGGGCCCAGCCCTTCTCCAGAGAGCCACAGCACAGCCCCACCCTCGCCAGGTGCCGAGTGCACACACTATAGACTGGACCTTGTTGGCTTTGTGGTGTGATAAAACACTCTCCATGGCCATTTGGCACGGAGGCCAGCAGCCCGAAGCAATTGTAATTAAAAGCCTGGCACTGAATGTTCCCTTTCCTTGTCATTGCACAAAATCTGTGCTGCTTAGGTTAGGAGCAGAGGAAGATGGGGAAGCTGGGGGGAGAGGAGAAGGCAAGAAGGCACTGGAATGCTATTATTTGCTGACCTCCCACCCCCACTCCACCGGACTCCAGATGGACACATAGCCAGGCCTCAGAGCACACACAATGCTGCCTCCTCAGGCAGTGCCAATCATGCGATGCCCAGAAACTCGATCCTTGACACATCTGTCTGCTCACAGGCCCAGTGGCCTGTGGAAGGTGGGAGGTGGGGGGTAAGGTGGGCAGATAGCAGGTTGACAGACTGATTTACTGTTATCTTTGCCTTCTTGGAAATCAGGGCCTGCATCTATTTTCTATGAATTCAGATGATAAAAAGAGAAAGCCACAGATTTGGCCAGACGTGCTCCGTCTGCCACCGAGATGATTACGGGGCTGCCAAAGGCCCCGATCCTCGTTGCCGGAGCAGGACGTGGAGCACAGGCTGAAGTGCTACTCTGCTGGGAGGAATGGAGACAGCTGGCAGAGGCCACCTCAGCTGTGCGCACCACCAGGCCTGCTTAACTTGATTAATGGAGCTGCAGGCCCCCTCTGACCTCACCCGTCAAGAAGCGGGGCACAGCCATGGTGCTGCCAGGGCCCCAGCCCAGGAGTGCTTCAGCACCCCTCCTCTCGGCATCCTGCTTTACCCAGAGCAGGTGGAAGGTGTGGTCTCAGTATGTCACCCGCCCTCCGGCTGACTCACCAGCCCAGCTTTCTGTGGATGGTGTAGCTGGTGCCAGGAGGGATGGGCTGTCCTGCCCATTCCACCCTCCCCCTGGCCTTAGATCCAAAGCTGTTGGCACAGTCGTAGACAGGCTTGGAGGTGCAGTGTGCAGAATGAGGTGTTGAGGGCTGGCCCCCAAGCTCAGAACCAACTGTGCCCACAAGATCAACTCAGGTCTTGGGCTCCTCAGCCCCAGCTGAGCACAAAGGTGAGTGGCTCCGGCTGGCACCATTGGGTTTCAGCAGACACTTGGCTCAGTAGGAACAAAGAAATGATAGGAGCTTCTTCTAATGGCTGCAGTTCTACTCTACTTCCTGCTGGCTGAACCCAGCACCACAGTAGGCCTTCAACCTACACTTTGGGGCACTCTGATGAAATGGAGACAATTCAGGGGAGGTGACCAGGATGCCAAGGGAAACAATACTCAGTGAGGGGTTGCTGAAGAGGCTGGGGCTATCTGCCTAGGGAGGGGAGGACTTGGGGGAATGAGGGCTGGCAAGCAGTAAGGGTGACGTAAGGCCTGGGTGGCCCAAGAGAGAAAACCAGAGCCCATGGGTAGAGTTTCCAAGATGGCAGGATTTAGAATTCACATCAGAAGTTTCTACCAGTCAAGGAGGAGGACTGTCACTGGAGGCTGGCAAGCAGAGGCCAGACTCACAGGGGGATATGGAGGGGATGCTAGCTCTGGATGGGGGCTGGCCCCTGGGAACTGGACTCCATCAGATTCTGAGATTCTAGCACTACAGCAGCCCAGAGGAGAATGGGGCTGAACTGGCTGAGCCCGACATGCCTGCTGAGCCTCACTGACCTGCAAAACAGTCATAGCTACTTCCTCAGCCACCCACTGCAGGGAGGAGAGCCCTACTTAGGGCTGCAGAGCTCTTATCTTCATCTCAAAAAGCCAAAGGATAATCACACATTACCCATGATAAAGCCCCCTGGAAAACTAGAATGTCTGGTGTCTTTGGCTTTTGATTGAAATTTTGTCAGCTCATTACAGACACTCAGTGTAGACTGGATATCATGCTGATCTAAAGATCTGACTGGCAAGTACAGATGTCTGTACTTAATAAAAATGGGGGAAAAGTTATGACTTAATAAATGGAGTTTGTCTGGAAGATAAAACTAGGTCCTGAGACAATAAAAAGGCCATGCTGTGAAAAGTTTGGGGTGGCTGCTTCCAGCCCAGAATGCCAGCCCTAAGACTGTTATGGAACACAGTCAGCTTACTGAGCTGACTCCAGGTCACACTGAACTGAGCCAGCAGGACTCACACCAGCTGCCCTACACTTCAGCTTCACCTTGGCAAATTAGAGAAGCCTCATATAGGCCACATCCCCCCCAAGCTGCTGCTTTCTGCATAGGCTGGTATATAATATGTATTTAACATTCACTGAATGAAAGAATAAACGAGTGAATGAATGGATAAAGCTGTAGCTGGGAAGTCATGGTGGAAAACATGGACCTCCAGAGTTTCATCCTTTTATTGAAGCTTACAGTTTCAATGGACTTTTGGCCCCAAATGAAAAAACTACAATTAAAAAAAAAGCATTGGCAGAGGGAGGTGACAACTGTCCCCTGGGGACTGAAGCCAAGCAGAGCATGGCAGGCAAGTGAGGGATCCAAGCTGCAAATGGCAGTAGCCTGGCCACAGATGCCCAGGGAGCAGACTGTCTGAGCTCCCTGAGCAGGGAGAGACCCCAGGCAGCTAGAAGTTAACACACAAGGACTTGCGGATGTGGCAGAATCCAAGCCGCTGGTCCCATGGGCAAATCTCTCATGCTTGATCAGACTCCACTTTGGAGAAATGGGCTCATTTGACAGTACAGCCTAGGTGAGGGAACACAGGTGCCAATGGTAACAAGCTAATGAACACTTACACTTACCACTGGCGTCAGGGCAGAAAGGGGAAAGCTGGAGGTGGGAGCCCAGCTGATCAGACACTAACTCCATTACAAGGACCGATATCTCCTGCTCCTGGTGCAAGGCTGTGCCATTCAACTTCCAGTCCTCCCCTAGATCAGGCCCCTCACTATCTGGTGGCTTTGATACAGGATTACCAACCCTCTTTGGGAACAGTGCTGCATCAAGCAAGGGAGAATCTTTTTTTAGAAGGGGGAGGAAAAGAAGAGAGGTCCACACGCTTGTCCCACCATAAGGAGCCAGGAAAGGTCCCTTGTGCGCTCCACTCTCTGCAGATGGGCTGGGTCATAGCATTCGGGAAGCTGTCATGGTGACGAAGTCCTCAAAGCTGAGCCGAATGTTGCCCTGCACAGCTGTGTCCTTCTCCCGGAAGGCCTCTGTCAGCACCTGCAGCTGGGTGCACACCTGGATGAAGCGGTCAAGCTGCATGGCAGGACTGGCAGAGCGCGGGCAGTAGCGGGAAACCAGGAGCTGAGTGAACTGGGGGCTCAGGTTGTAGCCCATTTGGGACAGAGCTGGAGAAGAGGGGCATACAGAGCAGACACACAGAAATCTGCCATGAGCAACTCTATCAGCCAGCAATACCAGAGCACAGCAGTCCAGGGGACTTCGAGGGGATGTGCCCAGGAGCATAAAGAGGTCAGAGAAGTCCCAAGGGTCTCTCCAAGATGTCAGAAGCACAACAGGGGCTCTATCTGGATGTTCCTCATAGCTGGAAGGCCTCCATCCTTCTTTCTTCAAATCTCCATTATTGTCTGTTCAACTGGGGCTCATGGGATCCCAGAGATGACAACGGTCTATCCATGATCATCTCTGACTTGTCTGCATTCTAAAAGGAAGCCTGAGCCCCCTAGGACCACCTTGCCTAGAGCAGACATCAGTGGCAGCACAGCAGGGAGGTTATGAGGACCTGCTCTGGAGTCAGACAGCCCCTGGGCAAGTTGCTGAGCCTCACCAGCCCTCTGTCTTAGCATCTCTAAAATGGGGACGATACTTAACTTGCAGGTTCTAGTAAGGATTAAAGGAGGTGATCATGTAAAGCACTTAGTGCAGTGCCTGGCACATAAAGCACTCAGTAAGGGTTATTTTAATAAAGTCACCATCACTTCCCTAAAGTTGCTGGGCAGTTCGGGGTTCCAACATCACAGCCTACATGCTGCTCCCATCCCCCACTGGGATGCTTCCTTCCTTCTCTGCATAAATTACCAGCCCAGGCTAAAATCTCAGCTCTCCCTTGGCTATGTGGGCCCTTGGGCAAGTAAATACACTAAACCTCAGTTTTCTCATCTGTAAAATAAGGGACATAATAAGGGATCCTTCATCAAAGGGTGTGTATTAATAAATAGTAGCTAGTACATGGGAGGAATGAACTATATCAACCTATTAAAAACACTATTACAGTCCCTCAAACATAGCAAGCGTTCAATAAAAATCAGTTTTGTTGTTGTTAGTATCACCCTGACCAATATCCATGACAGAAGCTGGCAAAAGAGAAGGTGGTCAGTACAGGTCAACTCTCCCTTCTGCCAGGGGCAGGTGTGGTGCACTCACCACACTCACAAACCTTCCTTAGTCTGAAAATCCACAGACAAGGCAGAGGACTGGACTCTCTGGGGAGCCCTTTCCCTCTCCTGGATAGCAAAGTTACCTGTTGGGTTCTTACAACCTCATTAGCTACCTGTCCTTTCACCAGCTGACCTGAGCCTTGGCTGCAGGCTCCAGCCCCACAGAGTCAGACTGGAACCAGACCTCGGGCTGTGGCCTCAGGTCATCTTCCATAGCTGCAACTTTTAGAGTCCTTGGGGTCCCAGAGCTGGGAATGAAATTGCCTTCCAGCAGAGGTGGCAAGAGAATCCATCTTTCTGAGCCCCCGTGTGGGGCTCTTTCCATTCTACATGCTAGAAACCAGAAAGGAAAGAGCCATCCAAGCCACACACACTGGTCTCAAAGTGCCCTAAGGGGCTCAGTTTCTACCCATAAGGGTCCTTGCCTGCTGGGGCTGTCTCAACCAGCACTGCCAGGAGTTCTGTCACCAGCAAGTCCAGCCCTGATTCTGGATCCAGCATCATGACTTAATGCCCCAGCCAGGTCACAGAAGGGGTGGGAGGAGTAGGCCTACACGAAGGACAGCATTTGGTAGTGCAGGTGGACCTCAGGTGGTGAGAGGAAAACCCCTTTCTCTGTCTTAGGAAGTAAAGAGGAGAGTCTGGCACTATCCTGCTTACTGAGCCCCTGCCATGGCCCTTACCTTGCTGCAGCTCCGTGTAGCTAATGGAGCCCGAGTGGTCCCTGTCATACTGTTGGAAGAGGTTCTTCCACTGTTGGATGAATTTCCACAGGGCCGAGAAACCGTAGACATCGATGCGGCCTGACTTGGTCTTATCAAACATGTCTGAGGGGGAGGAGGGAAAGGAGAGGAGGAAGGCTTCAAACTGAGGGCCAAAGGTCTTGGGCACCACTGAGGCAGCCCTTCTCCCCAGGCTGCAGTAGGAAATCCTACAGAACCAGAGGCCTGAGGCCCAGACACCTGCATCAATGTTGCACCAGCCTCCTGCCCTGGCCATTCTCAGCCAGAACTGCAGGCTTCGCAGCTGATCCCCCCCCCCCCCCCCGCTGTTTCCTACCCTGGGAGGGAGTCCCATTCTGCAGAATGGGAAACTGAGTTAGCCTGTAACTCAGCAGGGTCTAGAACTTGAGAAACATCGAAGGGAAAGAGCTCTCAGTCTAAGGGATCTCACCTTGAATCCAGCTTCCTCCCTAAAATCCTCCCTAGCCAAAGGATTTCTCCTCAGAATGGCTGCTCACACACCTCCTGTCAACCAACAGGTACCTCTGCCCCAGCTCAGGCCCATAAGGAAGAAAGACTCACTTATCATCATGAGGCACGTCTCATCATTGAACGATGACCAGTTGGAGTTGAGCAGAGCCTGCTTCAGCTCCTTGATGGAGATGTAGCCACTGTGGTCGGAGTCCACAGACTGGAACCAGGAGTATGCCTCAGGATCCACGTTGGGTGGGACGCCACCTGGAGGAAGGGTGTGAACCAAGTAGTCAAGCCCAGGCCTCAAGGCCAATTGGCAAAAATGCTGGGAAGGGCTGGCCTCGGTGACTTCCTGGCTATAGGTTTTCCCTACACACAGTGCCTCACAAATTTACCTGCCTTCCATAAAACTGACATCCTCACTCTAGTGGAAGAGGGCACTAGTATAGACTCACGAGTATCTGCAGCTGATTTCTACTCCATAAGCTCTTTGGGCTTTTCATATAGTGCTCTAGTCACTTCTCTATTTCATTTTATGTTTCTAAAGAACAGGGAGGTGCCTGTACTCCTCCAGTATATCAAGAATTCTCTGGGATGGGTGCAGTGGCTCATGCCTGTAATCCTAGCACTCTGGGAGGCCGTGGCAGGTGGATTGCTCAAGGTCAGGAGTTTGAGACTAGCCTGATCAAGAGCAAGATCCCATCTCTGCTAAAAATAGAAAAAAATTATCTGGACAACTAAAAATACATGTAGAAAAAATTAGCTGGGCATGGTGGTGCATGCCTGTAGTCCTAGCTACTTGGGAGGCTGAGACAGAAGGATTGCTTGAGCCCAGGAGTTTGAGGTTGCTGTGAGCTAGGCTGACACCACGGCACTCTAGCCCGGGCAACAGAGCCAGACTCTGTCTCAAAAAAAAAAAAAAAAAAAAAAGAATTCTCTGGAAGAGGTGAGCTGGGAATGGGGAAATGGGTGGCTGATGAAAACAGAGAAGCAGAAAAGTCTATCTTAGGATGCTGAGTTAACTGGCCACAAAGGGGGCTCCTTCACACAAGAAAGTATCAGAGACAGCCACAAGCAGTTGTGGAGGACAGAAATCACACTGCCCAGTCCCAAAGCCCAGTGAGGCCAGAGGGAAAAAGGATTGCCTGACTGAGGGACTAGTTTGCATGGGAAATCCAGACAGGTTCCACCTACCTTCCTACAACAGCAGTGTCCTGCCCCAGCAGGACAGTTTCTATAACGTGTGTGCAGGACAGTTTCTATAACGTGTGTGCTCTTCTTTGTACAGAAGAACTCAGGCTTTGATTGAAGCAGACCTGGATTCAAATCCTTGCCCTCTGATACTTACCGGCTTGTGTGACTTTAGGCAAAATGTATAATTTCCTGAGTACTGATGTCCCAATTTCTAAACTGAACCCATTTCCCAGGGTTGTTGTGATGATTAATCAAAGTAACAGCAAAATAAAGTTCTTAGCAGAGAGCTTGGGAACGTGTGTAGTCTGAGACATTTTACAGAGTAAGGGATATTTAAACTGGGTTTCTCCCCATGGCAGACTACGTTATTACCTTCAATTATTTGCTAATCTCCCTTCCCTGTGAGAGCACTGCGCATCCTCTCCCACTGCCTGGTGGCTCACAGAGCTCCATGGGAGGAGCATCCATTCTCATCCTACTGATGTCAGGCTTGTCCAGGGGACGTGCACTGGCCCTAAGAATGTGAGTGCACAAGACATACAGAACTTCAGAGCAGGCCGGGCGCGGTGGCTCACGCCTGTAATCCTAGCACTCTGAGAGGCCGAGGTGGGTGGATTGCTCGAGGTCAGGAGTTCAAAACCAGCCTGAGCAAGAGTGAGACCCTATCTCTACTATAAATAGAAAGAAACTAATTGGCCAACTAATATATAGAAAAAATTAGCCAGGCATGGTGGCGCATGCCTGTAGTCCCAGCTACTCGGGAGGCTAAAGCAGCAGGATTGCTTGAGCCCAGGAGTTTAAGGTTGCTGTGAGCTAGGCTGATGCCACGGCACTCACTCTAGCCTGGGCAACAAAGCAAGACTCTGTCTCCAAAAAGAAAAAAAAAAAAAGAACTTCAGAGCTGAAACTTTAAGAGGCATTGTGCATTCCTGCCAGCTCTCCTGCTTTTTCTCTGCCACAAAGATAACATACCCCAAATATGGGCTGCTCCTCTGCCTGGATCCCAGAATAAAAAGACATGTGGAACAGAAACTCAGCAGCCAGCCTACAGCTACTGACATGTAAGCAAGAGTAAATAAGCTTGAGTGAGCAATGGAAATAAACGCTTGCTTCTGTAAGCCAAGGAGATTTTGGAGTTATTGTTACCACAGCCAAGCTACCTGACAGACTTCTCACTCTGCAGATGCAAGCTGAAGCTGGAAGCAAGACGGTAAGGAGCTAGAGACCAGGGTGCCTGCTGCCTGCACACTCATAGGAAGGACAAGGATGGGCTGTGGAGAACTCAGAACCAAATCAGAGGCACACAGAATCTGAGAATCCCTACTTACCCTGTCCATAAGGCCCGGGCTGCTGGGCACCGTAGGAGTTTGGAGGTGGTTGACCATAGGGGCCCCCTGGGGCCGCACCGCCATATGGTCCTCCAGGACTGGGGTGTCCATAGGGCCCTCCACCAGCTGGTGGTCCATAGGGCCCTCCAGGGGCAGGACCCCCATAACCACCACCAGGGGGTAGCCCACTGCCATACTGCCCTCCCCCATGAGGGGGTCCAGGGTAGTAGCTACCCGGAGGGCCTCCTGGGGCTTGTCCTGCAGCTCCTGGGCAGCCCTGCAGGAAGAGCAAGATAACAGTCAGAATGATGAGGCCAGAAACTAGCCACAGCATGGCACTTTATAGCTATAAAGCACTTCCACTGCCATTCTTTCAACTCATCCTATGGTAGGATTGGAATTACGATCCTATTGCACAGATGGGCAATCTGAAGCTTCTAGACGACTATGAGTTACCCCAAATCAAGACCTGCAAAATCAGGAATGGAATCTTGCCCTCCTGACTCCCCTTTCTGCATACCAAGGGACTCCACAAGGGCTAGGATCATGTCTAGTTTGCCACTTTATTCCCAGTTCCCAGTGCAGGATGAATGCTCAGTAAATATTTATTGGATGAGTAGGCAAGTGAATCAAATAGAATTCCAAATATCCAACCTGAGGTACCCCCATCTATATCTGCAGAATTCAGAGCAAAAATACGGTCTCCACTCAACATCCCCAACCCTCACCAGTCACAAATAATGTATCGACAGTGTGGATTCTTCCATACCCTCCTGCAGCTCATAAAGCAAAAACATTTTCCTGTCTTCACTTATGACTCTGTGAGGCAGGCAGGGGAGACCCTATTCTTAAGGCAATATGGTACAATGGTTAAAAAGACCAGTTCAAGTTCAGGTTCTTCCAACTTAACTGGATTAATGACTTACCCTCTCTAAGCCTCAGTATCTTCTGCTGTAAAATGAAAATAGTAATAGCGCCTACCTCTCAGGTTGGTATGTGAAGCATCTTGACACAGGGCCTGGCACAGAGTAAGCACTCAATACACATTAACTATTCATAGCAGCCTCCTACAGAGGACAAAACTGAAGTCCACAAAAGTCACACACAGACTGTGTGGAAGGGCTGGGACCAGAACCCATGTCTCCTGTGAGTCCAGGGCATTTGCGCAATAGAACACACAGGGGAGCATCCCTCTCTTGTCTACCTCCCCACGCCACCAGCCAGTGACCCCTGAGGCTAAGAGCGTTCTGCTCCATCTCTCTAAATGGCCAGCACAGGGCCTGGCAATGCACAGCCCTAACACATCTGCAACAAGCAGAGCTCAAGGGCACAGAGAGCAGCTGGGCCCAGCTAGAGGAAGGTACCATCTAGACATGTCCTAGCTCAACCTGGAGGCACAGCAGTGGCCTAGCCACTGAGAGTCTGGGCTTTCTCTTTTTATTGTGTTTGACAGCTTCTGGGACCATCACCCTCAATGTTAAGACCAAACTGGTAGTCACCTAAAAGGGGCCTGCATGTCTAAGGAAGAGAGGCTTTTTGGGAGAGGGCAGGAGCAGGCCCTGCTACCTCCCCCACTCAGCATCGTGGGAGCTCTTCCTCCCCAGAAGCTACCACAGCTATTATAGGAGCTAAACTCACAGACAGATTTTGATTCACAACTCTGCTCTCACCAGCTGAGTTCATGATGGGGCCAGTGGCTCAATCTCTCTGAGCCTGCTTCCTTATGACTAAAATGTAATCATCTCATCCTCACTGGACTGTTCTATAGATTACGAGAAATAATCTTGTAAAATTCAATTTTAGCTATAAAATCTTTTGCTTTAAAAATATAAATAAAATTCATAAAAGAAAGTTGCTCTGGTTGAAGCAAGGTGGGGGCTCCACAGACCCAACCATAAGGGGCCCCCTTCCCTTTACAGATTCTGGGGGGGGGGCTCTGAAGAACCCTCACAGTGACTCAAAAGACAGTCTGAAAACCACTAACATGAGACAATTTGTTTTTACAACAGTGCCTGGCATAAAGCAAACGATCAATAAATCATACATGAAACACAGCTGCTATTATTATTATTATATTATTACTGTCGGCAAAATCCAGGGCCAGCTGAACTCTGGGTTGAGGGGGGTGGCTATGAAGGAGAGTGGAACAATCCAAAGGTGCTCACAGCTAACAGGAGAAGCATGGAGACACTCTCTGTAACATCTAACCAAACAGCATAAGGAAATAGGTATTTAAAATGGACACATAAGCCCTGTGCCATGGTGGCTGTAAAGGAAAGAGGGTAAAATCAGGGAGGGTTTCCACGAGAAAGTGACAATTGAGCTGGGACTTAATGAACGAACAAGATTCCCAATGGGGCTGTATTAGTGCGACAGGAGAGGTACCCAGAAGGCCAGTCACTTAACATAACTCCCTCATTTTACAGATGGGGAAACTAGGGCCAAGAGAGGGGAAGGGACTTGCCCAAGTCATACTGCCAGCTGGAGGCAGAGGTGGGTCTGGACCATTCCCCCCCCACGCCCCCCCCCTGCACCCAATGACTCCCACTGCCTCCTGCTACAGTGCTCTTTTCTTAAGCAGCAGGGCACAGGATTCCAGTGTAGGGTGGAAAGGAGGTGGGGACCATGCAGATTCTGGGCACACCCAAAGAACAGGCTGGACACCAGGCCAGGAAATAGCTGTTCAACTATATGCCCTGTGAGCAAAGCCATAAACTGTACCTAGCCAGGGGTACCTGAGGCAAAGTGCTTCCACCTGGGAAATGTCCCCAGGCCAACAAAACAGGTACTGCAGGGCAGGTGTTCTGCTCTTCTCACTATCACACTCCAGGGACCTGAAGTAGTCTGGCAACAACTAAACCCTCTCCTTTCTGCCCTGCATTAAAGCCCTTCTGTGTTAAAGGCCAAACCAATGCACTTTCACATACACAAACCTACTGGCAGAATCTTGCATAACAGGAAAAAAGGAAGGTGTTTAGTAGGTCTATTTTTCAGATGGAGAAACTGAGGTACAGTGCTGTTAAGGGATTTCATTCAGCAAGCACTTGCAGAATGACAATATTGTGCTAGGCTCTGTGGTGGGCCCGGGGACACAGAACTAGATGAGGCCCTGCCCTTGAGGAGCCCATAGATAATTATGATTCAGTATGATCAGTGCCATCAGAAAAACTATTCACACAGTATGAAGAAGCATGGACAGAGGAATGTGTTCTGTTCACTGAATGAATAAGGGAATAATCAAATGAGCAATGCATGAAGTGGGTCGAGGAAGACTTCCTGGAGAAGCAGCAGTGATACTAGAGTTAGTCTTTGAAGGATGCACAGGCATTCCCCAAAAGGCAGGCAGGGAAGGACACTCCAGACAGAGGGAACAGACAGACAAAGGCTTACATGAACAAGCGTGGTGTGGTCAGGGGATGAGCTACCCAAAGGCAGGTCTTTTACACAATCCTTGACCAAGCACCTCTCCTGCTGCATTTCAGTTACTGTTGAGTTACTGGTGTGTAAGACTAGTTTCCATCTGTCTAGTCTCTCTCCCTGTCAACAGTACGCTCCCCAGGCGCATCTGCTGGGCCTCATTCATCATGGTACCCTAGGGCCTAGCACAGTGCCAGGCACCTGTAAGCCTCTATAAATATTTGAACAAATGAATGCCACTCTAAAGAGTTTGGGCTTTTACGCTGGAGAAAACAACGCAATAGAAGGGTTTCCAACAGGGGAGAAACGTGATCAGAGCCTTGTTTAGAGAAGTAACCGGCGGTGGCAGCAGCATGGAGGATGAGCTTGCGGGGGAGGCAGCAGCCCAGGTGCTGGGCAGGCAGGGCATGAACCAGACAGCAGACTTGAGGATGGAGAAAACGGAATGGATTCTGAAGCTATTTCAGATAGACTAGACATGACTTGGTGACTAATTAGATTAGGAAAGAGACAGAGAGGGAGTGAGGAGAGGGAGTGTTTAGAATGACTCAGGTTTCTAGTTTGCACAAACGATAGAGGTGGAGCTACCAATTGAGGCGGAATCCAGGCTGCAGAGGAAGTTTGGGGAAGATGACGAGATGGTTCCCAGGGTCACTGAGCTGTTAGTAAAGGTCTGACCAGAAATGAAAATCAGAATCCCCAGTTCCCTGTTATTTTATACTAACTCTATGCTGCCAACCCTTTTGAGAGTTTTCCCAGGAGTATTTAATACTGATAAAAACAAGATTGTGAAGAGAGGGGAAAAAAAAACCAGGAAGTGTTCAGTAACCAAGGCTTCCAAATCATGACAGAAAATTATGTCTAGGTCTCGGGCTGACTGCAAACAAGCTACATTTGATACCTTGGGAGAGGGGTAATTAACATTTACTGAGGCTATGCAAGGTGCTTCCAGTTCAATTGGCTCTCACTGATCCTTAGTCCTGTGAGGTTAGCGCTATTATCTCCATTTTACAGATAAGAAAAATGAAGGTGCAGAAAGTTTAATGATGTGCCTGAGATCACACAGCTAGAATGGGTAAGCTGGGATCCAAACAGGGTCTGTATGACTCTGCATTACCTCCCGTTTGTTCACTCAGTAAGTGAGTGCCTAGCATGTGTCTGGTCCAGAGATTGTGCTAAATGTTTCTGTCACATATGATGAATTTCTACAGTAGATGGGGGTGGAGGGGGAAGGAGGTGAGCTTTCAGAGCTTTCAAGGCCAGAAATAAGAGTCTCAGAAGAATCTTATTCTTTTTTCCACCCCAGCAACTAGACTCAGTTTGAGAGCCACATATGGGAAGAAACTGCAAAGACCCTTCGATCCAACCTCTGAGTCAATAAAGGAATCTCTATTTGCATTCCCACAAGGGGTGGGGTGCTTACTTCCTCTCAGATGACCCACTCAAAAAGTTCTGTATTTTCTTTTGGTTCTGAGGGCTCATTTTTCTACCGCCCAAACCCTTGTGAAGCTCAGAGGTATCAAAGACTGTTCCAAGCTGAGCCTGGATGAGGAAGGGAGGAGGTTGCATAGCAAAGACAAGCCCCAGAGCTGCCCCTCAAATGCCTGTTGAGGAGGTGGCAGCCCAGGCTAAGGGATTAAACAATCACAAGATGACAGAAGGAATGGTTCACGCATTCACCAGCAGAGCCTCCTAAAACATTTAAAGGGCAGAAACATGCAACCAATAAACAATGAGCCCAGAACTGTCCCAAGACTTCAATTCCTACCTCTGTGCTGACACTCCAAAACCTTTCTCTCCTATTTCACCTCTCCTGAGCTACAAGACCCACATAGCCAAAAGCCTCTGGACACGCCCTCCAAACCTATTCCTCCCACTGCATTCCCTTCTGCCCTGTCACCCAAACCTAAAGCCTCAGTACCCTTCTGGGCACCTCCTCTTTCCTCCCCTCCATCATCTCAGTTAGGCACCAAGTTTTCTCAACTCTACCTCCCAAATGCTTCTCAAATCCACCTTCACCAGGTCACTGTTCTCTTTAGCCTAGATTAATTCAATAGCTTTGGAACTAATCTCCCTGCCTCAATCCATTCTCACAGTGCCCACGGTAATCGCTCCAAAGCACAAATGGGACAAAACTCTTCACTGGTTTCCTCGCTACTCTTAGGATGAAGTCACACTCCCCCAAAGGCATACAAGGCCCTTTGGGATCTGGCCCTTGCTTAACCTCCTGGTCTCATTTCTCACCCCTTTTCCCCTCATCACTATGGCTGATCTTAAAAGTTCCTCCAAAATACTAAGCTGTCCTACTTGCTTCCTGGTCTTTGTGCAGCTATTTCCTCTCCTGGAACACCATTTCTTTCTTTACCCAGCTAACTCCTACCGGTGACTCAGTTTTTGGCTTAAATATCACCTCCTTTAAGAAGTCTTTATGCACCCTTAGGCTGAGTTAGGTATCTCTCCTGTGCTGTGCTAGTACCTTACACTTACTCCCATTTAATACTTACCACACTGATTCTTCAATCTACATACCTACATTACTCTTCCGCTTGGATTATTTACTACATGCCAAGCACTTTATGTGGATTATCTCATTTAATCTTTGCAGTAACTCTGAGCTAGGTACTGTTATGACCTCATTCTAAAGAAGGAAAAACTGAGACTCATATTTGCAACAAACTCCTTCAAGGAAGTGGCAGAGTCAAATCTCTCTGGCTTCAAAGACCACGCTCTTAAACACTGAAACCCACCAAGATGTTTCCCTCATAGGACCAAAGGGTGCTTGGGTTTTACTATCCCAACACCCAGTCCATGCTTGAGTACCCTGGGCTGGAGGCAGTGGAAAATTATAGGAATTTTGACTCTTAACAATAGGCTGGAATCCTCCAGGGCTATGTAGTGAGGGGAGGCGATGCAGCGCTGACTGAGATGCTTTAAAACAACGCATTTCCTTTTTAGAACACCTGGGTTCAGGAGGTGGACACATGTATGGTGGGGGAAAAAAGTACCATTTCTTATTCTATTTCAGACATTTTTCTCTGTACTACATTTTGCTTTTCACTCCTAGCATAGCTCAGACAGGATGGCATAGCAATGGCAATCACAGCAGCCAGAGCTGCCACCAAGCACTGGCACTGGCAGGCACCAAGCACTGACATACTAACAATGTGCCCACCTCCCTGTAGGGCTTCCTGCATTTCATCCACCCTTACAGGTATTACTTCTTCCTTTTTACAGGTAAGAAACTGAGGCTCAGAGCCCTTAGATGGTTTGTCCAAGGGCATACAACTGTTACCACACTGATTGCCACACTAGATAAATTTTTTTTCCTTAGGGCCATGGTATTTTATTAAAACAAAACGATCCTTTCTAGTTTGTTATTTTTTTATTGTTTTCTGTGCATGAGTTATATGTAACGCAATCAAAATTTTTAGAATTAAATCGTCAATATTAACTGTAACAATAAGAATATCAACAAGTAAGATTTTCACAAACCAACTGCAGGGTTTTGCTTCATGAGACCCTGGGCTCAAAATTAGCCCAAGTTAAATACAACTCACAATGGCAGTTAATGTGTTAAGTAATACCGAGTTTCCTTGAAAATAAGACCTACCCATAAAATAAGCCCTAGCAGGATTTCTAAGCATTTGCACAATATAAGCCCTACCCTGAAAATAAGACCTAGTGATGGGCGTGGCTACGCAGCGTATCTAAACAACCCATGCATTTTGTCACTGAACAGTAAAGACGACGAGCAGCCCTTCTCATCTGCCCCATCGTGACAGCTACTATCCCAGAGGTGACCGGAAAGGTGCAGGCAGCCCCACCAACAAGGTCAGCTCCCCATGTCAGGTCCCAGCCATCCTGTGCGTGCTGCAAGCTGAGGCTTTGAGGGGAAAGTCTCCTCAGTGAAGTGAGGAGTGGGACACTCCACTTCAGGTATTGTGTGTCCCCAAGGGGAAGAAGGAAAGCTGTGGCTGCCATTTTACTATGATGATGTTCCAGAAGAAGATAACTTAACTATATCTGAATAAATGTAGATTGTTGTACCATACTTAAAAAAAATAACACATCCCCTCAAAATAAGCCCTAGGGTGTCTTCTTGAGGAAAAACAAATAAGGACCCTGTCTTATTTTTGGGGAAACATGGTAGTTAAGACTCTAGCCCAGTTCTAACCTGTCACTGCTTCTAGGATGCAAATTATCCCCAAACCTTATTAAAATGTAGATTCCTGAGCACAGAACAGGTCTGAGTGGGACCCAAAAGTGTGATTTTTTTGTTTTTTAAGACAGAGTCTCACTTTGTTGTCCAGGCTAGAGTGCCGTGGCATCAGCCTAGTTCACAGCAGCCTCAAACTCCTAGGCTCAAGCAATCCTTCTGCCTCAGCATCCCGAGTAGCTGGACTACAGACATGCGCCACCATGCCCGGCTAATTTTTCTATATATTTTTAGTTGGCCAATTAATTTCTTTCTATTTTTAGTAGAGACGGGGTCTCACTCTTTCTCAGGCTGGTTTCAAACTCCTGATCTTGAGCGATCTGCCTGCCTCAGCCTCCCACAGTCCTAGGACTACAGGTGTGAGCTACCGCACCCAGCCCCAAAAGTGTGGCTTTTTAACATGCTCTCAGGTGATTCTAAAGCAGAAGACCAACCACTGAGAAACAATAAACTATGGCAATGTTTTCTCAAACAGTGTTACTGTGTTCCTCAGAAACACCAATGTCACAAAAAATGAACAGGCATTAAAAAAAAAATAGATGGGGTTAAGTAAATTTAAGAAATATTGCATGTTCTACTCCTTCCTGGAAGACTTACAATGTCCAATAGCTAATTAAGAATTTTGAAATGGCTGGGCGTAGTGGCTGATGCCTATAATCCTAGCACTCTGGGAGGCCAAGGCAGGCGGATCGTTTGAGCTCAGGAGTTCAAGATCAGCCTGAGTAGGAGTGAGACTGTCTCTACCAAAAATAGTAAGAAATTAATTGGACAGCTAAAAATATATAGAAAAAAATTAGCCAGGCATGGTGGCATATCCCTGTAGTCCCAGCTACTTGGGAGGTTGAGGTGGAAGGATTGCTTGAGCCCAGGAGTTTGAGGTTGCTGTGAGCTAGGCTGATGCCACGGCACTTTAGCCTAGCCTGGGCAACAAAGTGAGACTCTGTCTCAAAAAAAAAAAAAAAAAAGAATTTTGAAATGCCCTGTGAACAAACTTATTTAGCTGTACTTAAGAGTATTCCCCAGGCCAGGTGCCGTGGCTCACGCGTGTAATCCTAGCACTCCGGGAGGCCAAGGAGGGCAGATTGCTCAAGGTCAGGAGTTCGAAACCAGCTTGAGCAGGAGCAAGACCCCATCTCTACTAAAAATAGAAAGAAATTAGCTGGATAACTAATATATATAGAAAAAATTAGCCGGGCATGGTGGTGCATGCCTGTAGTCCCAGCTACTCGGGAGGCTGAGGCAGCAGGACTGCTTGAGCCCAGGGTTTAGGTTGCTGTGAGCTAGGCTGACACCACAACAGTCACTCTAGCCTGGGCAACAAAGCGAGACTCTGTCTCAAAAAAAAAAAAAAAAAGAGTATTTCCCAAACTTATTTAACCACAGAATCGTTCTCTATTAATAATACCTATTAATATCTTATAAGACTCAGTAAATGAATGGAATTTGGGGAACACCACTACATTATGCGTCCTTCTAACCCCAACCCATGCTGGCCTCTCTTCTTCCTACCTCTGCAAAGTATGCAACGAAAAAAATCCTACTCATGGCCTCAACCTCACTTGCTATGTGTGACCTTTGACAAGTCACTTAACCTCTTTGGGTTTGTTCCTCCTTTGTAAATTTGGTGTAATAATCCCTGTATGCCTATAGGGCCTTCATGATAGCGACAAAAAGGTCCAAATACTGTGTGTACACTGTACAGGGCTACTACACTCCCTATAAGGACTCCTACCACATCTTTGGTATGTGACTATACTCAGTCAAGCACTTTGTAATATCCCATTTGATCTTGTTTTCCAATTTTTCCTGCATGGGTTTTAACTCCTAAATCACTGTGTGATCTTGGGTAACTCATGATCCCTCTCTAGTTTCTCCTCTGCAATATGAAGGGGCTATTTTGAGGGTCCACCCAGCACAGACCTAGGAGTCTAGTAAACGGCAACATGTGTCACACCTTATTATGCACCAAATGCTTAACAAGTATCACGTCATTACTCTTCATAATAGCTCTATGAGGTAAACTCCCTTAGGCCCCATTTTAGAGGAAACTTTGATCAAAAAGGCAAAACATCTTGCTCAAAGGAACAAAACTATTTAGGTGATGGAGCCCAGATGTGAACCTACCTCTGACTCCAAACTGCACTTGACCATCCTACTACTCTGTCACCTGATAAAGTATTCTGGCCACACCATCACCTTGCTGTGGTGTTCCCAGCTCAATCAAGACAGGCTGGGCAGTGGGGAAAAGTCATCTGCAGAAAACCCGGGTTCTGACCTCGGCTTTACTGCCGCCTAACTGCCTGGTGACTTCAGATAAATTCTGTGTCTTCTTAGGGTATGGTCAAACCAGCTCACTTTGTGGCGCCTGCTACAACCACAGATTCTCCTGATTACTCTGACGCAGTATGCGGGGGTTGGGTCCGGAAGGCTGTATCGCCTAAAATGATACTGATGGAACCAGAGCTCTACACATCCTGTCAGCGGGTGATACCAGCCAGGAAAACCACGGGAGCCTTGGGAGGATGTGGAGGCCTGGCCGGGACCAGCATGGACCTTTGGGGTCCAAGGTCCCCAAAGCCTAGCCTGCGCGACGTCAGAGGGGGCGCGACACGACCTCCTAACGCGCAGTCCTGCGTGACGTAAGCCGGGCGCGACCGATGGTCCCTTTTGCGTTCTCTCCCGTGAGAGGTCTCGCTGAAGCGAACCCAGCTTTGGAAGGGCACGGAGAAAGGCGGGGTAAAGAAGAGTCGAGGGGCACCGGGCCTGGGCTTGGCACGGGCCCTAGCTGGACTCGCGGGCCCCTCACGCACTCACCTGCCCGTACGGATAGCTGGCCATGGCGACTCTGACGTCACATGCCTGAGAAGGGCGGGGCCTCCCACTCTCAGACCCGGCCCTCGCCAGGGCCTGGGAGGCGGTCCCGCATCTGATTGGACAGCCATGCTCTCAATCTTGGGCGCAGTAGGAAGACGGAAGTGACGATACAGGGCAGTGGGCGGGTGCCTACCAGACAGACCAGAGGTGCTAAAGACTTGATGGAGCCTTCCGGAAATCTTGGTGGCTTTACTGGCGCGCCTGTTTCTGCCTTTCCTGACCTGGAGTAGGCCCCAGGGTTGATCAGGCCGGGATATTTAGTGAGAAGCCTAGGTCGGGTGTTGCTGCGGCGGCCATATTATAACCTGGCAAATGAGACGCATAATAGTAGCGTAATTGTTGTCGTCACTCCGAGTTTCCGTCTGGTGAGGGCCCAGGCGGTTGCCATGACAACGAGGAACCTACCAACGCCTCCTGGAAAGCATGGAGACGATGGCAGAATTCTCCTTTCTGACGTCAGGACGCTGGGTGCAACTTAGTAGTCTTGAGGTGACATACAGATCTATGGTTTTTGAAGAAGAAAGAAAATCCCGAACCGTTAGCGTGAGGAAAATTAGATTATCTAGTAACTCTTCATATATGGGGAAATTGAGAGGCAGTGACTTACCCTAGTTCACAGTGGGTTAGTGGCAGAGTGTGGCCTAGAACCAGGGTCAATGGATGCCCAGTTCTCAGCGGGGAAGTCTAGATTGAGCCCCATAATAGGTCAAATCCTGGTTTCTAAGTGACTTCAGCACCACATACGTAGCACTCGGTTTAGTTTCTGCACGTGTTTGCATGCTTATGTGAGTAATTTAAGTTCTTCCATGTGGGCAAGGACTGTATCTACTTTGCTTGTCATTATAACCCCAGTACCTAGTACAGTGCCTGACACTGTAGTTTTTAAATAAATGAATGAATAAATTAGTGGTATGAGGTGTTATCCACTCCAGCCCATCTAACCATCTAGCCAAGCACTTTCCAGAATCACAGTGCTGGTCATGCTACTTGCCCATTGCACAGCCTACAATGGTGCTCTTCATCCACAACTACAAAGTAAGGCCCACTCTCTTCATCCTGGCCCTCCAGTCCCTTCACAGTCTGGCCCACTGTCACCTTTCCAGTCTCATGTCTTACAGCCCTGGTCTGTCCTCCACTCTATACTGCTCAATTTCACCATTCAGCACCTCTGCTTTGGAGTGAGAGTCACTTTCTAGCTGTGTAACCTTGGGCAGGTTATTTAGAGACCTCAGTGCCAGTTTTCTTGGCTGTCAGAAACAAATATGTAATTTGAAAATGAGCTATTGCACCTGCTCATACCTAGAGTTATGCTCAAGCTACTCCTTTCTTCTGGAAGAGAGGGAGCAGCCGTCCCATCTCCAGTCCTACAAGGATCAGTTCCAATCTCATCCTCCACCTAAACCTCCCACAATCCCCCCAAACTTCAGAGTTAGCCACCCTCTTGCCAGTCTCTCTCTGCACTTGGTGCTATCACTGCCATATTCCAGCCTGCTTTGTACAAAGAGTTCTCTTTTAATGTTTTCTCCCAAAACAAAACCCATTCCTCTCCTTCATCTCAGAAAATCCACTCAGTCAGGCCCAAATCCTAGGATCATTCTTGTATGTCCTCTTTTTCTCTGTGCACTTCCCCAACTCCATTTGCTCTAGTTCAAAAATATACCCACATCTGCTCTCTTCTCCCTGTTCACACTATCACTCTAGTCCAAGACACCATCATCTGTGCTTGGATCACTACAATAGCTTCCTGACCAATGTCCCTTTCGCTCTTTCCCTCACTATAGGGCAGCCAGAGTGATTGACTAAAAATGTCATTCCCTGGCTTAAATTCCAGGGGCTTCCCACCACGCTTACAATAAAAGCTAAACTCATCCTTATGACCTTCATGGTCCTACATGACATAGACCCTGCCTATCCCTCCAACCTCATTGCCTGCCATTGCTGTCCTCCTTGATTCACTGCAGCCACGCTGGCCTGGTTGTGCCACCCCTGGAACATGCTGAGCTCATTCCCGCCTCCAGATCTTTGGATTAGGTCTTCCCTCTCTATCTAGAACACTGACTTTTCACTGGTTGGCTCCTCCTTGTTATCCAAGTCTCAGTTCAAATAGCACCTCTTGGGGGGGGGGCATTCCTTGACACCATGTCTAAAGTACACTGCCCCCTCCAACATCCAGTCATCTAGCATATCGTTATATCGTATTTTCATAACGTGTGTCATTGCTTGAATTGTCCTCTTTAAGGTTTACATGTATGTTGTAAGGTTTATCTACATTGTAGATAAATCGTCCTTTTCCTATTTATTCTTCTATCTCCAACACCTAGAGGAGTGCCTAGCATGAATTCAATAAATGATAGTGGTTATTATTATTAATATTATATACTGAATGCTTACTAGGTGCTGAAATTTGTGCTAAGCACTATGTGTTGTTTAATTTTCATCACAGTCTTTTGAGAGAGGATACTATTACCCATTTATGATGAGGAGCTGAGGCTCAGAGAGGCCAAGTGACTTCCCTAATATCAAAAAGATAAATGGAGAAGTTCGAATTTGAACTCAGGTCTACACTCATTTTAGCTACTCAGTATTTAATAGTTAGTAGGCCATGTCTTTACCTTTATAACCTTTACCTTTACCTTTATAACCAGTCCAAAAATTAGTGGTGGAATTGAACTGAGAAATCTCAGGAAGACGTCTTGAAGTCCAGGCTGAAGGTCAAGGCCAGGAGAGAGGATAGTGACACCTGGCCCGCAGATTGGGTCCTGTGGCACGTACTTATTTATTCCACAAACACGTGAGCCTCTTGAATTCCCCCTACTTGCCAGGCTCTGTTCCAGGTGCTGAGGATTCAGCTCCTATGAGAATTCTTTGCCTCCATCCCCTTCTGCCCAGCAAAGGGCTCTTAGGGGAGCTTGCTGTTGGAAGTCAGTGCTATTAGGGGGCAGAGGCATCTAAATGTTCCCTCAGGCAGTCAAAGACCAACCAAAGCTGTGCCTCTGAGAACCTGCAGCACATCCAGGTGTGTTTGTTTTGGAGGGGGCTGGATAAGAGAGAGATCAGGATCTTCCAAAGACTGAAAAACAATCAACTCATTTCTAAAACCTCAACTACGTGAGGCAGACAGAGGTGGGTGGGGTAGTTCCTGTTATTGTTTCGGTTTTAGCCAAAGGGGAAATCTTGGATTCCAGCCCTTTCTAGAGCCCAGAGCACTTTCCTGAGTTCTTGGAAGCCCTGTGGCTGACCCATTAGAGGTGAGGCACAGCTTGGGAATGTAAGCCCATCCACTGGAAAATATTGCCTCCCCTAGAGACACAGCATCCCCAGGCCTCCTGGCTCTGCGCCAAGCCCCGGTAGGGCTTACTGAGAAGGAATACTAACACCCACCTAATTATTATGGAATTAATTCTCTTTGATTCCAACCAGATCCAATTCTGAAATTTAAATTCCAGTTGGGTATTGTGGATCAGAGGGTGATTTGCAACTTTCCACAGAACCAACTGAAAAATGAGAACTGCAGACAGGGCGATTTGGCCACACTCTCTTCCATTATGGTAGTGTAGCGGGGAGAACATTGACAAAATCTATTCTCCTAAACTACTCAGGATAGCCACAAAAAAGATCTAGTCTTGTAAGGAGTTAACAGACCCTATGTGAAGTCTAATTAGATTCTGTCGAATTCTGATGACAAAGGAAAGTATTATGAAAAAAAGGAAGATTTAAATTCCAGAAGCATCAAATTGGGGATTTTCCCCTGCAGAATAAATATGCAGCAGCCTTTTCTCCATCTTATGGAGCAGAGGGTTTCTCAAATTAAGGACCCTCCAGTCCATTCTTCACATTGCCATCGGCAAACTCCCCATTAGGCAAAGCAGATGCAACATACCTTTGCGTGAAACCTATCAGTGACTTCCCTCCGTGTCTCCCCTGCGCCTGCTCTGCAGCCCTGCCACACTGACCTGTCTCCCGTCACTCGGCCTGCTACACCCAGTCATCCCTGGACCGTGGCATGTGCTGTTCCCTCTGCTCCATCTCTCTTAGGTCTTCCAGCTGTGCAATCGCCAGCACCTGGGCCTGCCCTGTCCTCCCCCTTCATTGTAATTGTTTAACTGTCTGCTCTCCCCACCAACACTGTGGGGCCAGGGACCATATCTGTCTAGTTCGCCTCAGGACCCGCATAGTCTGGTATAGTTCCTGGCACAAAGTAGAAAGAGGAAATGGACTCAAGTTAGACTTTGGTAATCTGATCTGTGTGTTGCCTTAAAAGCCTGGAATAGACTAAAACTGGAGACAGAAGAGTCACAGGGCGGGAATATGAAAAGGCTGCCTGGGAGGAATGGAAGGCATGCGCCCCTCCCTTCTTTCTTTTCAGCCTACCCAGCTCCTGAACGGATGAGGGAAAGCCATGGATTTTTTGCTGACCATGTAACAGAAGCAACCATAAAATTCAGCTTTCCATCTGGTTCTTCATGGTCCAGGAAAATACAGCAATTTCAAACTCCAGGGAGACAGGCATTCAAATGATGAAAGCTTAAACCTAGCCTGTTGTAGAATCCCCTAAGAATGGCATGAATTTGACTCAGGAAGAAAAGTGGAGAAGGCGTCATTTACTCTGTAAGGATGGATTCCCTGGGGACCCTTACAGGGGATGAGTTTGATGTTTCCTCATAGCAATTTTCCCCTCTGGCCTTCAAAGCCAACCCTGCTCAATTCCACAGCTGGTCCTTGCTTCTCTTTCTCTCTACTGGCGCCAACAAGCCTCTAGTCATGAAGCCCATCATCGGTTAGTGCTCACAGGCTGGCCCAAAAGCGGGAGCTGGCCCTCTGATGGGAGCTCTTTAACATCTGTCCTCAGCCCCTGTCCAAAACCTGGCTGCTACTTCAATGCAAAGATGATGCATTTGCTTTTTAATGTTTTGTGTTAGAACCAGGGTTAACTGAGAATAGCTGGTGCGGGATGAAAAAGGAATAAACCCCTCCTTTATCTAAAAACATCGTGGGAGACACTCCGGCGTGCTCGGGAGCCTGCCTGATTTCATTCCTCTGGCCGCCAGCACACCTCTGCTCCTGGCAGGAAAAAAATAGGGCAAAGGTTCTGAAAAACCATCAATAGGCTGATCTCCCGGTATTTGGGGCCCAACCAGAAAAGGGAATTTTCAGAAATGTGCTGGAATGCCAGCTCAGGAGAGATTTGACAGCCGGTTTGAAGGCTTCAGGCAGTTTGGATAAGCATCTAGACTTTGGGTACATTTCTGAGCCTGCTCTGTGATCCTTTGAAGTTTGTCCAACTTGAATAAACCTTCCAGAAAGCTGGGGCCAGTAAAAAGGCTTTCTTTGGAAATCCCCCTGGAAGTGCCCTATTGCTCTCTCACAGGGCAGCCAGCCCACAAGGACAGGCGATCTGAAAAGTGGAGAAAGAAGAAGCTTGAGACAGAATGGTTTTATAATGTTCAATTGGCTGTCTTTTTTTTTTTTTTTTTATGTCTAGCCTTTTTACATAGACAGAAAGAGACAGCAGATAGATCAACAAACTCCCAGTGGACTTTAAGGACCATGAACTTAGATCTGATCATGGCTTGCCTGCGACCCCTTTGCTCTTTCCAAAGGCCTAGGCTAGGATGTACAGGAAAAGTACATGCACATTAGAATCACAGAGGATGCCATCTGTAATCCAGAAAGTCATTACCCAAAGCACTTATGGAGTCTGGTGACAGGGCCACGCATTGGTGCAGGCAGCAGGCAGGTTTCGTCTCATTTCCCAGAGCAGCATCCCCTGGTTGCCTAGGCCAGGAGCCGGAGCCTGTCTTTTCTCCTGTCTGCACAGGTTTTCTAATCACAGAATCACTGGAGCATCAGCGTAAGCCTGCATGCTTGGAGGGGCTTCCAGGAGATGAACACACCTCAGCACCGAGTGGCATTTCCCAAGGTGCAACCTGGATTGGCTCTGGGTCACACTCAGGAAGTGAAGCAGGTGGGCAAAGGGTGGGTGAGGTATCAAACACTGGTTTTTTAGGGAAGCAAATAGGGAAGAGCCTTTATAACTGGGAAGTAGGGACTTCACACCTGTTTTTGGTTCACTCGCCAGGAGAGGCTGAGAATGCCGGTTCTCTAGCTAGAGAGCAGTGTGCGTGAAGGACGGGGCACGAGGTGCAGAGGGCGGCAGGATGAATCGGGAGCACCTGGAGAGGAGAGCTCCCTGCATGGCAGCACCCCACAGCTGCACTCACCACAGGCCACCAGGGAAATGCCCTTTCTTGACTCTGGGACCAAATGGGAAAAGGAGGATGACAGGGAGCTGGAGCCGCAGCACCAGAGGAGCCCTGCTGGAAGGGGAATGGCAGCAAGTTTTGTTTCTTTATTTTATTATTTAAAAAATATTAACAGCAATTAAAAACAACAAAAACATTCACAACCCGTCACAGAGTCCTGTAAGCTTTGGCCATTTATTCCCAATGGAGTCCTTCATCCGGTGGCAGGTGGGGATTTCAGCCGAAAGGCCCCTTCATGTTTTTCATGGGCGGGTACTGCTGCTCCATGGGCATGGCCCCGAAGCAGTCCGAGGGGGTACAGTGGCCAGCCTTGCCCGGCTGGCCCATGGGGCCCGGGGGACCAGGGATGCCAGGGATGCCCTGCTGGCCCATGGGTCCTGTTGCTCCCATCTTGCCATACCCTGGAGGGCCTTGAGGACCTAGGGAGGGAAGAGCCACCGAAGGGAAATCAGGAGACCCAGATCATAAGAAAAAAAGCAATAACAGGCATGGTAAACACTGCCTGACATAGGATGAGTAGTTTCCACGTCACCTCATGTTCTCATGAGGACCTAATCTGATCTTCATGTTGATTTAACAATGACGATACCACTGGCTAATTTTATTGAGAGATTCTGTGTGCCAGGCATGGGGCTGAGTGCCTTTGATGCAGTATTCATTGAATCTGCACAATTAATTCCCTGAGAAAGGAGCTATTATCTAATTTTGTAGATGAGGACACAGGCTCAGAGAGGTTCACATCTGGCAAGTAGAGCACATCTGGTAAGTAGAGCAGCTGGGGCTCAGAGTTGGAACATCAGGCTTTGGCCACTCTCTTTCAGGCTCTACAGCCAGGCATGCATCTTAGAGAGTGACGCCAAGGGCATAAATGACCTCTTCAAGGTTACGCACCCAGTAAGATGCCGAGCAGGGCTTGAACTTGAGTTCCCAGGCCCTGACCACGTGCAGCTCCCTCCCACTGTGTCATGCTAGCCCAGCCTAGGACGTAGGAACAGGCACTGAGTCTCCCTGATCCCCACAGTGACATTATAATACATGGTGGTTGATTGGCCTGTAGTTACTTGGAGTTCGACACAACTGTCACAGAAGGAACAGAAAGAAAGGGGGTGTCTGCAGCTTTGGATTCGTGGTCTCAAGTGCTGCTTTTTCTTACCTGGAGGGCCGGGAAGACCATTTTCTCCTGCAATGCCAACGCCAATGTCTCCCTTTTCACCTTTAGTGCCAGGCAATCCTGGGACAAAACAAATAAAATAAGAAGTCTTTTCCCTGAGCAGAAAAATGACACAGCCAGTTGGATTATTTAAAACACACAAATCTCATATTCACGACATGGAATGCTCTGGCCTGCCCCAGGGAGCTACATCTGTCCCTGCCCCAGAGCTACCTCTCATTCCTGGCAAGCCCTGCCGTCCTTCTCTGCCAATCTGACCAGGGAGCCCAGGGGACCCCGGAGCGCCCGGCCGGCCCGGAGCACCATCCTTCCCTGGAGGCCCTGGTCGTCCTGGAGCTGCCGCCATTTCCATGGGGAACTGCATCCTGGAGGTGTAGTAGGCCATCCTCTCTGCAAGACAGGAAAAGGACAAGTCTCAGGGAGCCCCAGGGACTCAGAGTGACTGCAGATGCTGTAGCCAGGTCGCCAGCTTGGAGTCCAAAGCAGCCTTTCTTGAGAGAGGCATTTGAGCAAGGAATATGGGGGTTGGTCTCCCAAGTGGGGTCCCATGCCCTGGCCTCCACAGAGACCCTTCTGAAGCACAGCTCTGACCATGGCCTCTCTGCGCAACACCCTTAGTGGGTTCGCCGCCGGCTTCAGAATAAAGTCTAGACTCCTTGCTGGTGTTCAAGGTCTGCTTCCCAAGCAAGAAGTCCAGCCCCTTCCGGAAACTGGGTCCGTGTTTTCCCCAGTCCCTGGCACATCAGTGTTGGATGAACAAATGAAAAGAAAAAAAGCTTCAAATAAACCCACACCACCCTCTTCCAGTGGCCGCTCGCCCCTCTATTTAGAGCTCACTTCATGCAGACTCGTTTGATATCAATTTTCTTGTCTGTCTCCTTTGCTCAAGTAGGGGCTCAGGGAGGGCAGGAGGGAATCATTTCATCTCTGAACAGAGCAGGTGACAAGGAAGGTCTGACGGATAATTGAACATGTGCCTGTCAACCCCAGGCCCAGAAGTGTGGGGGGGGAGGGGGGAGGACACTGAGCTTTAAGGAAAAGGAGGCCAAGGCAGGGCGGAGAAGCAGGAGGAAGGGAGAGCAGCACCACTGCCAATTACCATCAAACATTTTAATGATCTCTTGTCTGATGAACCTCTTGATTTCATCATAATTCACCATGTCTCCCTGAGGAAAGAGAAGAAAACATGCCTCAATTACACTTCCAAGCTCGGTGCTTTCCCCCTGGGAGAGACTTTACGGAGATAAAGGGTGGGGAGGAGGGCCAAGGTCCCAGGAGCCTCCCACGGAGTCCTAATCCGAAGTCCTAAGCCCCTCAAATGGTACAAGACATTTTGTGCCTCAGTGCATCTTTCTGGGGAGAGGATCCCTTAACCCCTCCCCACACACAGTTAAGAACCACCTATGTGGGAGTCATGCTCTCTCCCATGGAATGTCAGCAGAAGTTTCTAAAACAACCCATGTGCCACCCCACATGCCTGCTCTATGGGACAGTGCCCAAGGCCACTGCCTCCCCGCTTACCATGGAGCCAGGAACACCAGGCAATCCAGGGCTCCCCGCGGGGCCCGGAGATCCAGGGTGGCCTCTCTCTCCTGCAGGACCCGGTGGCCCAACAGGCCCCATAGAGCCACTCTTGCCAGGCCCGCCAGGCATGCCGGATCTCCCCTTCTCTCCTGCCTGGCCCTTCTGTCCCGGAGATCCCGGATCCCCCTACAAGGACAGACCCCAGTGCTGTCATATCTGCATCATGATGGCTCAGCAATCTGCCCCCCCCCCAGGCCTTGGCATCACCCTCAGGACTGTGGTCACAGCATCTTGACAGGTCATTTTGCCTCACCGCCCCCAGGGTGGTCCTTCTAGAAGACAGTCCTCATGGTTTTACTCCCTACCTAGAGGTTCTGAGGGCTCCCGACTGCCTCAGGATAAAGGCCTAATTCTTAAGCCAGGCACTCAGGGCCCTTCACGATGTGGTCCTGATCATCCCTTCCTTAGCCTCCTCTCCCTGTCCCCACCTCCTGGCAGCCCTCACTGGTTATAATCCTCTGCTTCAGCCATGCTGTCTTAGGCCTCCCTGACTGCAAGTGCCCTTCCCTCTTTCCTGCCCAGTGCACGACGCCTCCTCCTCCAAGAAATGTTCCAGTTCTTCGGGCTGAGGGGGGTGCTCCCTTCCTCTGCCCCCCCAGTGCTGTGTCTAATCTTCTTCTGTGAAACTCGCTACACGCTAGCGTGAATGTGACTAGACTACTGCGAACACCTATCATTCCGAGACCTCTGTTTATCCACGGCCAGGACAGAGGGCCTGGAACATGAGCAAGAGCGAGTGGATGTTTGTGGAATGAAAAAATGAATGAATCCATCCATCAACAAGCGAATGAACTAGAGATTTCCGTTCCCTCAACCACAGCTAAGCCCCACGAGAGAAGTCTTCAGACACAAGCTTGCACCAAGGTCGGCCCACCGTTCCCCTGCCCACCGACCTTCCCCAGTCTCCTCTCTGTGGCTAACGTCGTAACTTGGAGCTGGGCTCAAACAGCTCACGAGCTTCTCCTCTCGAGCCCAGCCAGTGCCCACTCACCTTGAGGCCAGGAGGCCCGTAGAGTCCCTGTTTCCCAGGGGGTCCCTGGAGGAAAGCAAAAGCCGGGGGTCAAGTCTGGGCAGCGTCTCTGCAGCATCCTGGGGGAAGGTGGCGTGAAAGACCACCTTAGCCCCGGCTGCGTCCAGCTGGGCTCTGTGTGAGCACGGAGGGGCTCAGAGGACAGAGGGGCTGGCAGCTGCAGGGAGTATGATGTCCCCTGGGGCATGGCCTTGCTTCATCATGTGGCTGTCGCCGATCACAGATGAGGGGTGAGAAGAAGTCGGATTGGGAGGGCCAGTCTGTGGCATATTGTAAGCATGGCAAGAGCTGGTGCCCAGGAAATGTTTGTTTGGAGTTTATTAATATTATTGTTGCTTTTTGACCAGGTACAGGGTAAAAAAAATAAATAAATAAAACAAGTCTCACTCCCATTCTTGTCGCCTAGTCCCCAGTTTCTCTCCCAGAGTGAGTGTTCACAGTTTCCTGTGTATTTGCCCAGAGATAGTCTGGACATGTAGGGAATGCTGCCGAGCGAAGGAAGAGGGGTTGGGGCAAGGCGAGGGGCTAGGAGTCTCCCTAGAGAACAGGAGAAGAGCAGCACGATCGTACCTCTTTGCCGACCGCGCCATCTGCACCAGGCTCCCCCTGGGGAGTAGACAACAGTGGAGACATGATGAGTTCCAGCCCAGTTTGGTGTCACATGCCTGACTTTGGCTACTGGGTTCCACCAAGGAGCCACGATCCTCCAGCCCTCACCCTCTGACACTCTGGGCACAGGCCGTGGAAACTCAGACCCCAGCCCACGCTGCAGCCTAGTCCCAGAACCCCACCCTGACAGCTCCCGCTGCACCCCTCCTGAGCTCTCCAAGGGAGGGACAGGCTGAACCTGCCTGGCTCTGCCTTAGGATCTGGCACCTACACTCCCTTGCTCTGAGTAGGTTACTGTTTGCTGAATGGACACATGCTCGCCAGTGGGGTCCCAGAGACCGACTAGGGCCGCCTGAGCTGCTCCCTCCCCACGACAGGAGAAGCTGCTTCCTCAGGCCAGCCCCCCCCCCCAGGGATGCTGGGGAAGAGGAATCTGCGACTGCAAGGCAAGGGGTAGATTTTTCCAGGGTCCCTGGAGGCTCCTGAGACTGCAGGCAGGGAGGGAGGCAGGGTCCTTGGCAGGAGGCAGAGTTAGCCCGCATGGTGAGACCAGGCCCTCCTGGCAGATGGGCCGACTGGAGTCACCCCCGCCCCTGTCCCACTCCAGGCCACAGGTCTGGGTCATCGTTCCTGCTCCCCAGGAGAAAGTCTGCCTTGGTGGAGAGCACCATGACGGGGTAGGAGACCTGGGTCCCTGAGGTTTCCCAGGGGACTTTTCATCCCGGAGTCTGGCAAACCAGTTCCACCTGAGATCTGGAACTTCTGAAAGGGGTAGTTTTGCAGAGTGGCTAAGGACACAAGTTCTGGAATCAGGCAGCCTAGGGACCAAACCCAGCTCTTCCTCTCACTAGCTGTGGGACGCTGAGCAACCTAGGTAACCTTGCTAACCCTCGGCGTCCTCACCTGTACAACGGGACAATCGTATCTACTAAATGGGGTTGCGGCGCAGATTGAGACTAAGTGCGCATCAGACAGTTCGCCATTCAGCACACGGTCGGTGATCGATACATCATCACTTTTAGTGTTAAACATTAGCTGAGACCAAGTCGTGGTTTCCGAAGAGCTCAGAGAGTTACAGCCACAGCATCACGTTTCTGGTTCCTGACATTTACAAAGATTTTCTGCGGTTGCGGACAAGCTCCCTGGGGAAGGGGCAGGGGCAGACAGGGACGAGTCTCCCCTGTCTGACAATAGACGAGGGATCTGCACGAGGTTGATGCTGGTGCATGGTCCGAGGCGTGACCTTGTGTGCAGCTGGCACAGCCTGGCATACAGGGCCTGTCTTTCCAAGGATGACGTGATCCTGAGGTGTACGTGTCGTGCCTCCTGCCACCTGCCACACTAACTGCCTTTCCCTCCTTGGAGACCCTAGATGTGCAGGGCTGCACTCCGCTGCCCTTCAGCCCTCTGACCCCTTCCCCTTCGGCCTCGCCATAGATGTGGGGTCTTACCGGGGGGCCAGGGTGTCCAGGAGGGCCAGGCTGGCCTGGGAGGCCTGCAAGGCCCCTTTCTCCAGTGGCTCCTCGGTCTCCTTTCAGGCCCTGGAGAACAGGAAGGGCGATGGTGAAGGGGCGGAAGGGGTAAAGTGGACCCACACAGCCAGAGGCAGACACCGCATCGTGTGATGGGGACCGCGTCCCCTACTCCCAGGCCCCAGAGCGGGAGGTGACGCTGCCTGAACTTGCAGCAGGACCCCGGGATGGCCTCCAGCCCTCTCAGAAGCCCTTCACCACCTCCTGGAAGGGGAGCTATCTGGAGACAGGGAAGGAGGGGTGGGGTACACTGTCCTCCGTCCCCCCAGCTTCCTCTGAAGGAGCCACGGCACAGCAGGGCGGAGCTGCTGGGAGGGGACAAGGAAGGGCGCATGTCACTCACCATGGCAGAGATCCCAGCTGGTCCTGGCTGGCCTGGAGGCCCCGGTGGCCCCTAAAGAGAGCAGAGTCAGTGGGACAGAAACTGGCTCTAATAACAAGCCCCTGGGCGGCGGAGGGCCTGGCAGCAGGAACAAGCCCTAAAGTTCGGCAGCTCTGTTCTCCTGAAACCCTTCTGGCCCTTCCAGCCTTGCACTTGGGCTTCTGCCAGAAGATTTGTGCCCAGAGCTGAGGTTGGGGACCTGCCTGCCTTCCCACGCTGAGTGGTGCATCTGGGCTGTGCTGAGGGGGGCTGATCTGGGAGCCACCGCCAGAGGCCAAGTGCAGAGGGCAAAGGCCTGGGGCATTAGCTGCCTGGCCTGGGGTGAGACCCCTTCTTCCCCAAAGGCAGCCACTTCTTGTTGTTCTAGGGAAGAGGCAAGACCAGGCCTAGTGGGGGTGAGGGCGGTGGCTAGGCACCCACTCCAACATCTGCAGGGACAAGCTCCAGGGTGGCACTCGGGCCCACCAACTCCCTGCTACCGCTGACACCGGAGAGCAATGAGACTCCAACACATGGCTGCTCCCTCCTGCCTGCACTATGGCTGCATCCGAAACGCCCTCCTCCACCTCTGGGTCCATATCTTTGCCTCTGAGGCACAGCTCAAATGTCACCTCCCTGGCTAAGAGGGGACACCTTCTCTGCATCCCTCGGTACTGGGGTCTGTCTCAGAGCACTTCCCTCCACACTCGCACACAGAAAGCTCCAGAGGCCGTGGCCTGTTGTACTCATCTCGGGTCTCCTGGGACAGAAATGCCCAGCACTGGGACCGTCACACAGCAGGGGGACCGGGCTGGATGGACAGAGGTGAGACAGGGAGGCCTGCACCCACCTCGTCCCCAGTTCCTGCTGAGTCTGCAACGGGGCCACAGTTCAGAGTGTGCGACACTGTCTTTCATCCGTAATGTGAGGGGGACCAGGCTAGACCTGGCGTTCCCAATCCAGGGCCCCCAGACCCCTTGAGATGCATAAAAATAGTATGGGGACCTGAGAGCTCCTTTTTTTGGTCATGAACTATTTTTAACATTTCCAAAAGCCTCCTGGAAGTCACACAGCCAGCCTCACAGGGCTGCGACAACATGCTACCATCTCGCTTTCCTCAGAGCCTATCGGCTCAGTCTGTCACACTGATCAAAGGCGCGCCTGGCAGTCGTCTGTGTTACTGATGAGTAAAGGAGATGGGAAATTCATTACTGCTTAATAAACATCCTCTCCAAGTGGCCCCATCTCAGTAAACACACCACCTACTCACCCAGTTGTCCAAGCCAAACGCAGGCGTCATCCCGATTCCCCTCTTTCTACCACTGCGCCTGCCCCGACAGGTCATCCGCAAGTCCTCCACCTCCAAACACGTCCCAGCTCTGTCCACGCTGCCCCGTCCACTATAGCCACGCAGCCACCACGTCCACGGGCGCGCCCTCCCACACTCCCGGCCACGCCGCTGGGGGCCTCCCCTTCCAGCACCAGGCCAGCTCTCCTTTCCTTCTCACATGTCCCCAAACCACGTTCCAGCCACCCGGACCTTCTTGGGGTTCCTCAAATACACCAAGCTCCTCTCTGCCTTAGGCCCCTTGTCCCAGCTGCCCCTTGCCTGGGACTCCCCACCCCACGGCTCACTGGCTGGCTCCTCCTTTTATTCAGGCCTCAGCTCAATTGTCACTTCTCCAGTAAGGGTTCCTCTGAAGTCCCCTCACTGTCCCTCCTTATAACATCATATTAGTTTGCTTGCTGTGTCTGCTCGAAAGCCCTATGACATCAGGGGACCTTGTCTGTCTTGCTCATTGCTGTTGCCCAATGCTTGGAACAGTGCCTGGTATGGGGCAGGTGCTCACTAATTATTTGTTGACTAACTGAGTGACCTTCATCTGATACATGAACTTGAATGTGCTCAGAAAATAAGAAAATGGTGAAAAACCTGGGAATCACAGAACTGGGTGAGCTCAGGACCCCTCCTGGCTCTCATGGTTGTGGCAGCTCCTCCAGTCAGTTCTTTCAGGTCATCCCAGGCTGTCCCCAACCCCCAACAGAATCCCGACTCCCGCAGGGGCAGAGACAAAAGCAGTTTAACTCACAACATGGCCGGGAGGGCCGGGTCTTCCCTGGGGTCCCATGGCACCAGGCTCACCCTGCAGGAGCCAGAAAAAGGAAGAGGTGACACGGAAATGGACTGACCTGTGCACACGGCTGTGGGATGGGAGAGGGCTGAGCAGGGCAGGTGGGAATGGCAATGGCTGGAGGAGCCGGACCCAGTCCCAGCCTCCAGAACTGAGTCCTCCAGGGCTGGAGGGACCAGCCCTGTCCCATGAGAACTTCTGGGTAGAGACAGCACAGCCCCAGCCTGAGCAGGCCAGGCCCTGCCTTTTTGGGTTGGTGACCCAGCAGCCTCCTGGGAGCAGAACCAGTTACAACCCTTACAAGGAAGGAGAAAGTTCAAGATCTGCAGGGGTGGGTGAAACCTCCCCTAGGGGGCTGAGGAGGGAAGGCAGCCACATTGCCAGTGAGCAGGAGACTCAGCAGAGTCCAAAGGCCAACTCAAGGCAGTGTGAGGTCCCTGGACCTTACCTCCGCTCCGGGCCGGCCACTGCTGCCAGGGGGACCTGGTTTGCCACAGTCACCCTAGAAGAGAGGGGCAGCTAGGGCTCACCAGACCTTCACATGGCACCCCCACCCAAGTCAACCCCACAGCACAGGGGCCCTGCCAGGTAGGCAGTGAGGCCCTGACCCAGTCTTCCAAGGCGCCGGTGGCCTCAGGAGGTTCAGATGCAGGGATGGCTTCTCAGCCAAGGGGCAGGTGGCACCTGCACGCCGACCCCTAGGCTGCCATGTCTGTCTGGGGTCAGTCCTTCAGGAGAGCAGAGAAAACCTGTGTGGCAGAGATCACCAGACCCTTACCTTAGGTCCTGGGAGGCCAGGATGTCCTGTTTTCCCCTTAAAGCCCTGGAAGAAAAAGCAGGGAGCTCTCATGGCCCTTGCCAGGGGCCTCTTCCCACTCCGTCACCCTCAGGTTAAACAAATCAAACCAATCCAGCGTGAAAATGTGGCCCACAGAGGACCTGGATTGTGGATGCCACACCCTGCCAGGCAGAGGCTGCGACTGCTCAGCTCCCAACTCCTTCCTGCAGCTCCACTTACCGGGGGTCCCATGAGTCCAGGGGGGCCAGCAGGGCCAGGGTCCCCCTAGGGAAAGAGACCAGGGCATGAGACAGGAGCTTTGTACAGCTTGTTCCCAAGTCATGTGCCACATTCTGCCCCCACCAGCCCCTCCCCAGCTGTCCCAGGGCAGAGGGATTGTCGCATGGGGCAGAGGAAAGAACTCAAGCCTGGCCTGGCCTCTGACTGCCTGTGGGCCCTCAGCAAACCCCAGCCCCTCTCCAGGCCTTACTCTTCCATCTTTGGGGTACAGAAAGGGGTTGACCTTGATATTCTGCCCTTTGCTGTGGCCCCATCCCTTTTGGATTTGCCCCGAAAAACGAGACCCAAGAGCCAGGACTTGCTCAAGTCCTTCCATGTCTGCAGTCTGATTCTTCCTGAAACCCAGCTGAGCTCCCTGGGTTGCCTGAGCTTCTGGATATAAATTTATTCCTGTCACTGCTGCCTTTGATGAAGCCCAGCTCATCTAGGCTCATTAAGGCCACTGGGAGAGCTGGGAAACCGAGGGGCTCTGGTGCCATCAGGGAGGCGGTTGCAGTGGGAGACAGGCTGAGGGAAGGCAGAGACAAAGAGGGGACGCTCGGTGCCTTTCTTCAGGGTCCCCTTGATTGGCTCCTGGGGAAGGAGGGAGAGGAGGGGCGCCTCGCCTCCCGGCGCATCGTCTCACCCGCAGGCCGGGCTTGCCGTCCTTCCCATCCAGACCGTCCAGCCCGGCCGGGCCCTGCCAACAGGAAAGAGGCATTTCTGCACGCCTGTGCGGGGTCCTGGGAAACAGGGGACCTGACCGACCACGCCGCGCAACTCTCTCCACTCCCACACCAACTCCCACCCCTAGCACACGCACACATGCACGTGCACACACATACACACATGTATGTACACACATGCATGTACATACACACCCTCACACACACCCGCCCCCGCGGGCCTGCCAGGCTAACGGGCACGCACTCACCTGAATCCCAGGAGGTCCTGGTGGCCCAGGGGAACCAGGCATGCCTGCCGGGCCTCGCATCCCTTCGCTGCCCTGGAAACCAGACCCACAACACAGTCAGCAGGGCCTTGCCCGGCCCTTGGAGACTAGGCCTGGGCCAGGGCTTCTGGTGACTACCGGACAGCTGGCTTCTGACCCAGTTTAGTCCTGGCCTAACTGCATATATTCTACACCACCTCCCCACGAGGTTCTGTCTACATGTGCAAAGCACCCCCCTTTCCTCACTGCTCCATGAGCAAGGGACAGAGCATCTTCAGGGCTGACCCAGGGGCTGGCGTGGTGGCTGCTCAGTGGCATGTGCTGAGCTGAAAGCTCACGTTCAATGGGCCCCAACAGCACACCGAGTACCGTGTGGGCTCTCATTCCCCAAGATGAAAAAAGTGGGTGGCCCCTGTCCCCAAGGAGAACACAGTCCAGTGAGGGCCACAGGCCTGCCAAACCCAAGGCAAAGCAACAGTCCATGTGGTGTGTGTGGAAGGGCTGGGGGAGTTCAGAAGAGGGAGCAGCTCATTCTGGTGGGGGTCAGGGACAGTGCCACAGAGAGTCACCAGCCACCAGCCTCTGAAGGACATTTGGGATTGGGCAGGTGGAGGAGAAAAGCATGTGCCAGAGGGAACCTAAGAGAAGGATAGGGATTTGGAAGTGGTCACATGCCTGGCCTGGCCAGGGTGTCCAGGCGGGAGAAGTCCGAGCCTGGTTGGTGAGGGCCCTGAATGCCGTGCTTAACGTTATCACACAGACCAGTGGCTTTCAAACTGTATTTCTCAGAGCCCTGGGGACTCCTGGGGAGCCTCAAAGCTGGGGCCATGAAGTGGGAACCCAAAGGGTGGATTCCAGGCCCCTTACCCTTGTTTTAGCCAGAGCAACTCCACTGGTATCTATTTTATAGATTGAGGCTTTGTATGAGCTTTTGTGTGACAAAAAGGCTCAATGACTATAAAATAAAGTCTGAAAACAACTGCTACAGGTACTAGGGAGCCATCAAAGGTTCAAAGCAGGGGAGTGATGAGAACAGATGCATGAATTGGAACGTTTACCAGAAAAGGAGAGGAGGCAAGATGCTTCATCTGCTTGGGGCTGGGGGGCTGCTGCATTCTTAGTGGGGACAAGGTGGCTGCCTGGATCAGTGGCTGTGGGGTGGTCTAGGGTAAGGGACCGTCTAGAGGAAGGGATCCTGCTAGAGACCTGGCAAAAGGGAAAAAGAGCCAAGGGGGCAATGCAATGCCACCAGCCACCAGGAGGGGTCAGCACAGCCCCAGCCAAAGTCAGCCCCCACTGGGAGTCTGGATGGAGAACCACTGGCCAGAGGTTTGGGATTCTCTGCAATGACCAGCCTAAGGAGAGCAGGGGCTGCCACCTAGGTCCTTCACAGGGAAGGGAAGGAGGGAAGGGAGATGGCAACCACCACTGCCCCAACCACAGCTGATGGGCACTGGCTCTGGAGACAGAGGCACCCAGGCCCTCCTGGAGCTGGGAGGGCAGTTAGCTCTGCTGCTAACACACCGTGTGCCCCTGGGCTGCCCCCAGCCTTGGAGACAGACTCTCACTCTATTGTCCCAGACTAGAGTATAGCAGTATGATCATAGCTCACTGCAACCTCAAACTCCTGGGCTCAAGTGATCCTCCTGCCTCAGCCTCCCCAGTAGCTGGGAATACAGGTGAGCGCCACAATGCCCAGCTAATTTTTCTATTTGTAGTAGAGACAGGGTCTTGGTCTTGCTCAGGCTGGTCATGAACTCCTGAGCTCAAGCACTTCAGCCTCCCAGGGTGCTAGGATGACAGGCATTAGCCACTGCGCCTGGCCTGCCCCCAGCCTTTTGGACCTCAGTTTCCCCTCCTGCACAGTTAGAAGTTAATGTGTGTACTCCCAGAGGAAAGGGCCCCTCCCTCTGGGCCCCGATCTCTGCACACGAAGCTCAGAAGTTAATCCCGGGACCTTGTACGTCAGTGCCCAGCACATATAGAGAGGCCAGAAGTTGGGCCGGGACAGGGACTTGAGCCCCCTCAACCAGGGCAGAGCCACATCTCTAGAGTTGATCAAACCAATTCAAGGCAGCAAGTGTGGGGGCTCCCCTGCCCTCTCTGGGCCCTTGGGAACTGCCTCAGCATGGCCGCACGGGAAGGAGGCCACTCTCCCTCCAGGCTGGTGTCCTCTCTTGGGGATTCCCAGTCTCAGCAGTGCTTCCCCCTTCCCTGAGCTCCCTGCTGCCCCGGGCTGCTAGGTATCCTGGGCCCAGCGGCTGTCCCGAGGAGCCCACTGGTCTGCAGCAGCCCCTGCTGCCATCCAGCAGTCGCTGAGCACATCCTAGAGGCCTCGTTCCCCAGCCCTGATGCAACTGGGTCAGTCTTGGAATTTCCTGAAGGTGTGATGCTGGAGGGGTGCAGGGCATGGAAGCTGCATAGCTCAGATCCATGACTTGAGCCAACTTGGGGTCTTGCTCACCTTCTCTGCTTGGGGGCCAGGTGGGCCAGGTGCTCCAGCTTTGCCTGGGAATCCGGGGGGACCCTATACCAACAAAGGAGCAAGTGGAAATAAAAGTGGGGCTGGAGGAGGAGCTCCCCTTCCTTCTTCCTCCTGTGCGTGTTGCACTGTTGTTAAAGTGATTCATTCTGACTTCCTAGAAACACCACCCAGGAGCGTTATGTCTGCCTGACCCGCTGGGCCGGGGCCCACCCAGGAGGCCCTGCTCTCCAGGTCTGGCTCCTGGAACCAGGCCTGGCCACCCAGGCTGTTCCTCTCCTGCCTCTTCCCCCTCCTCTCCAGGACAGTCCTCCCCCCGCCTGGCCTGGTCAGGCCACCACTCCTGATGGGACCACATCACACAGAGCCAGCGTTGTGCCTCTACTCACCGGCGGGCCTGGAAAGCCTGGCTGGCCTTGAAATCCCTATGGGAAGAAGCAAGGGACAGAGTGCTGTGCCACCCCCTCTCTCCTGCCTGGCTGCCCAGGTGGAAAGAGTGACGGGTGAGGCAGCCTCAGGCCCACGGGCCTCACCCTTCGGTCTGCCTGAGACGGCCGGCAGGTGAGGCTCAGGGCACCAGAGGGGACACTAGAGCTGCCGCTTCCCTGCCTCCCCCCAGCCAGGTCCCAATCATCACTTACCTGGTCACCCTTCTCACCCGAGTTCCCTTGGGGTCCTCGCTCTCCTCGGGGACCCTGTCATCCAAAGAGAACAATGCAGCTGGAACCCAATCTTCCTGTCCTCAGAGCCCAGGGCAGGACCAGGGGTCCACGTTCACATCTCCCTGCCCCTCACTCACTCACCGCTGGGCCGGTGGGACCTGGGAGGCCTTCGGATCCTGGGGGGCCCTGGGGACACAGAGGAGCAGAATCAGTCACGCTGCCTAGGGCAGAAGGGGGCAGGGGACAAGGCTCAGAGCAGAGGCAGGGCATGCAGCAGGGGCTGCCTAAGCTGGCGGGACTCCTCTGCCTGTTTGTTCTTCCCCTCTAGTGCCTGAGCTGCTGGACCAGCCTCCTAACTAGTCCTGCCACTTCCTAGCTCACTCCAAGCCAGCCAGCGAAGGGCTGCCATCTTCTCTTCTTTAAGCACAGCTCTGATGTGTCACTCTCTTGCTCAAACACCTTCCATGGCTCCCTCTGACAACTGAATGAAGCACACGCTGGTCTTTGAGGCGGCCTGTGATCTGGCACCAGCCACCCTTTACCACTTCATTCCCTCTCCCATTCTTCTTTTCCGCCTTGTTCAGTGAGACCTCCATCCCCCGAACATGCACTGTGCATTTGCAACCCCGGGCCTTTGCGTGGCTGTCCTCTTTATCTGGGATGCCCTCCCTTCCCGACCCCTTCAGTGTTCTGGCTCCTGGCTGTTGCTGCAGTGCACACACCCTCCCGCCCCTGGCCTCTCCCCCGGGATTCCCCAGTGCAGACCACCACACGGCCCCCTGCCTCCCGCTGTTCAGATCTCAGCTCAAAGGCCACCTCCTCCCAGTGGCCTTCCCTGATTTTCTGTCTAAAGAGCACCCTGCACCCCCCTCCAGCCTCTGACCCTGCCCTGTCTCCTCCATGGGTCCCTTCATTCACAGGTACTGGTTCATTTGTCTGCTGTCCGCCTCCCGCACTGCAGGGCAAGGGGCGTACCTGCCTGCTCTGTTCGCCGCAGTGTCCTCAGGAGCCCGCACCCGCGGGCCCAGCAGAAAGAGCACTTATTGAATAAACGCGTGACAGTGTCTGCTGAGTCCCGCTGAGGCCTCACTGCACTTGGTGAATTTGTAAGACTCCAGTCCTAGTTTGGCAGATCCCAGATCTGGGGTTTGTGAGGTTTGTCACCAGGACGGACCTGGGTTCAAGTCCAGGGTCTACCACCAACTCACTAACTAGCTGCGGGACCCTGGGTGAGTCACATCACTTCCTCATTTTGGGGGGTTCAGAATCCTCTGGTCATAGCCCAGCTCCTGTGCTCAGCCTGGGGTCCGGCACACCCTGGCTCTGCGGAGAGTGGCTCTGCTGGGGACTGGGGACGGAGGCCACCGGTGGGGCTGGGGCTAGAGTCCCAGGCCCTCCTTTGCAGGAGGAGGAGGAGGAGGAGTTCTGCCGGCTGACTCCTGGCCCCTTCCCCCATGAACCAAATCACTGGGATTCTCCTTCGGCCTCTACCTCCGCAGTGACCAGCCCCACCAGCCCCACCGGCCCCAACAGCCCCGCCAGCCCCGCCAGCCCCGCCAGCCCCACCAGCCCCACCAGCCCCGCTGCCTGCCACAGACACAGCTGGAGCGACTAGGCTGGCTCGGAGGCAGGGGTAGCAGGGGTCACGTCTCCTCCTTCGCAGACTGCTAGGAAATCTCCAGCCCACAGTGGTGGTGGCAGGCAGAGGCAGCTCTGTTTGAAGCCCTTCCTCCCGCCCCCGCAGAGCTGCCACTCGACTCACCGATTCCCCCTTCTCTCCTGCTGGCCCCGAGTAGCCGCGCTCCCCCTTGATGCCCTGACAAGCCGCAAAGGGAGAGCAGAATTAGCCCGTGGCCAGCCAGTCACGGCGCTAATGCGAGGGGTGGAGACTGCAGCTGGCACCCACGCTGGCTCTGAGGCAGATGGCATTGAGGAGGACGGCTGGGAGGGGAAGCCTCCCACCTCCCATGCCACTGTGGCCCTCCGTGGAAAGTGGGGACATGCCCACCCAGCAGGCTCCTGTGGGGGGCGGTGCCTCCCAGCTGTCTCGCCAGCTCTCCCAACCCCCTAGGAGACAGATCTCCTGCGTGTCTGGGACTTGCAGGGAGCTCTGAGAGTCTGGCTGCCCCGAAGGCAGAGTGGTGGGGCCAAGCCGTGCTACCCAGGGGGCCTACAGTGGGGGCTGCACGGACTGCCCGGCAGAGGCAAAGGCTGAAATGCCTGGGAAGGGGAGCTTGCTGAGGGACGCCCAGCCCAGCCCTGTCTTGTGCCCCCAGAGCCCTGTCTGGTGCCCCTTACTCACAGGCAGTCCTGGGGGGCCCATGGCACCTGGGTAACCAGGTTGCCCTGGAGGACCCTGCAAAGAAAGGCAGACATGGTAGATGGTAGACCATCCCCAAACATTTCTGTTCCCCCTCCCTGGGTGAAAGGGTGGCCACAGCCAGGACATCTGGACCTGCCATCTGGCAGGCACTGGACCCCCCAGCATGGCCACCCTGGGCCACTTCCCCGGCCCCAGGCTCCCTCAGCTGTGACCACCGCCACAGACCTGGGGCTGGAGGATGAGCCCCCTCGTGGCCAGGACCCCGGGGGCCGAGCCAGAGGAGGCCCAGAGCAGGGCAGCGGGACCAGGGAGGAGGGGTGGAAGCAGCATGCCCGGTGCTGTGGTCAGAGGGAAGGGGGCAGAGGGAAGAGGAGACCCCAGGGACGCCGGTGAGGACGGGGTGTGCTCCTGATGGGCGTGTGAAGACCCACGCTGAGGGAGTCAGGGCAGAGGGGCAGAGCGTTCCCAAAGGGTCCACCGCCCCGCCTCCATCACCGCCCCGCCCCTTGGGGCCCAGCCTCTGCCTCCCCGGGCTCTGTCTCCAACCCGCTACCTCCTCTTACCGGTTCCCCCTTGTCTCCCGTCAGGCCCGTGGGGCCTCGCTCTCCTTGCAGGCCCTTGGGAAGAAAAATCATGAGAAACCACCAGGGAGGGCAATCTCCACCCGGCCCGGACTCCCTGCTCCCACTTCCGGCCCTCTGTCCCCATTCTGGGCAAAGGGGGAGGTCACTAGTGACTCCCCTGGTGTCCCTAGCAAGTGACCAAAGGCTCCAAAGGGTGACTGTGAGAGGTGAAAACCCCCACCTACAGGTGCTTTGCAGGAGCTACCCTCCAAGACAGGTGACTACAGGTATATGCCCCCCCCCCGTGGGTGACTCAGAGAGGGGACCTCTCAGGTGCGTGTCGTTAGTATGCCCTACCCTGGTAACTGTCTGGGCGCTGCTTTAGGAGGGTGACAGATGAGACACATGCCCCTTCTGAGGGGCAACTGTCAGAAGAGGTGCCCCAGCGTGATGTCCCCCACCAGAGTGTATCACCCAACATCCAACACTTACCTGTCCAAGTCCCTCCCACCCCAAGCCAAAAATCACCTTCTTTTCGGGATGCAGAGAGAGACACGGGAAGGCTCCCTCCAGAGCAGTCCCTGTCACTTCGTAGGGTGGAAGGGACATCACTTGCAATCAAAGCCAGAGCCCCCACCCCTCACTCCTCACCCTGGCCTTCAAAGATGCCCCACACCACAAGGACACCTCTTCTGCCCCCTTCTCCCTCACGCCCTCCAGAGACGGCGCCCAAACCTTTCCACCACACAAGACAGATGGCTAGACGGACAGATGGCCCCTTCACCCAAGCAAGCAGAGACGACAAGGCCCAGCCCAAGAGGATGTGGGGACAGATGGAGCTGCGACAAGGAGGGGCCTGCTCCCTGAGCCTCCATCGCCAGACCCGGGAGGAGAGGAGCCAGGCCCCGGGAACATGAGGTCTGACAAACAGGAGGTTAGTTTTGTGACCCACGAGGGAGCAACAGTGAGGATGGGGAGGATTTAAACACACCTGTGACAATGACAAAGGCAGAGCAATTAACGACACCTGGCAGAAGGAGCAGGCCAAGGTGCCAGGCACAGAGGGGCAGAGCCCCCCGACACCCAGAAACCCAACTGGCTGGTATCACATGCCAGCCCCGGAGCAGGCTGGGACTGGAGCCAAGGAAGAGGAAGGGGAGAGGAGGAAGTGGGCAGTTTCCTCCAGGACGGTGGACACGGTGTGGGCAGGGCTGCCTTTAAATCCCTGGGTGCCCCTGGACAGCCCTGCCAAGCAGCAGGGCAGCAAACCTGCAATGTGAAGCCCTAAAGCGTTGGCATCTCTGCCGGGCTCCGAGCCAGGTGCCTGGCAGCGCCCCAAGAACTACTTTCAGCGAATCTTTAGTCAACACCAAAGGTGGTGAGAAGCAGGAGGCAGAGTGAGAAGGGAGGAAAAAGGGGCCCTAGAGGCACAGCCTGACATAAGAAGGTACGAGAGCTCAATGGCTCCTGAGGACCTGGGGTGGTGTGGATGGTGGGAGAAAAGGAACAGGAAGACAGGGCAGGAGGGAGAAGACAGAGAAAGAGAGCAGGAGAGGAGGGAGGGGAGAATGGAAAAAGTCAGAGGCTGGGAGGATGTCCTAGCTGCCCGGACCTCAGGGAACCTGTGTCGTTAGCTACCGAGCCTGAAGCCTGAGCACAACAAACACGGAGGACGGAGGTGAGGGCACGATGGAAGGGACACAAGCGAAAGCCACAGAGACCTGGCTGGCGGGGGAGGGGAGGCCGAGCAGCACTAGGTTCTTACAGGCAATCCGGGGGAGCCAACAGCACCAGGAAAACCTGGGGGGCCCTGGTGGGAGAAACAGGCAGGTCACATCTCACAAGAATGGTAACCCTGGGGCAGCCTGGGGTGCACAGTCTAGGACTGGGGGGCCGTGGGGAAAGGAGGTCATGGGGGTATTGTCAAGGCAGCTAGAAGAGAGACTCGTTGACCCAGAAGACAACTGCTCCTGCCCTCGCTCCGGGAAGAAGGGCTCCTCTGCCGCAGAGATGCGAAATAGCCCCCAGCGTCCTGGTCCTCCCCGAGTCTTCCGGCGTCTAACCGAGTGCCTGTGCTGGAGTGGAAGCCCCCTTCTTCCTGCTGGCCCATCACGCCTGCCCCTGGCCTCTGTATGCCCCCCGAGTGGCAGCTCCCTCTCTCTAAGGTGGCTTCTGCCAGCCAGTTTTCCTCCGAAAGAGCCCTTTCAGTTCTTCCAGTCTTTCCTAGGCCCGTCTAATTTCCTGCCGTAGCAACACCACAGAAGCCTCCCTGGTCTGGACTTTGTAGACTCGCCCAGAGATGGCCCAGCAGAGCAAGGGAGGGCAGCTCCACCGTGGCCCCTGGCCCTTGTAGGAACTGTGTCGCAGGGGCATGGAGAGATGTGGCCAGGATGCCCCTCGCCCCCCTGCCTGCCGATACTGTGAGCCAGTAGCTTGGCCCTGCCCCAGGTGGCCAGGGTCCCCGAGTAAAACACAGCAGGGAGGGGGACAGGGAGCAAAGCTATGTCCCAAGGGCTGCCCCTAAGCAGGACCTCAGGCCGTGGGGCAGAGCAGGACAGTTCCGGGATTTGGTGGTGGGAGACCACAGTCCCTGCAGATGCCCTAATGACAAGCTGGGGAGGACACTGGAACTTCCCTCTTTCTGTCTTGCCCAGCTTCTTGGGGACAAGGCAACCGAAAGGTGTGTGAGTGTCATGACCCCTTTGAGAGCTTTTCAAGCTGCCCAGGGAAGCACAGATACTTACAATAGGGCCGGGAGGACCCGGAGAGCCCCTCATGCCGGGCGGACCCTGCAAAGGAAGCCAAGGGACGAGGATGAAGAGTTCGGGCCCCACAGACCCCAGGACCTTAGTGGCCTTAGTGACCCAGCTGGCCACAGCCAGGGTCGCCATTTAGCTGAGGTTAAAACCACCTTTCATTTGGTTCATTTGGTCATGCAACACACATTTATTGAGCAATTATTATGTACCAGGCACTGGTCCAAGGGCTGGGAACACAGAATAAACAAAACAGATAAAAATGCCTGCCTCGCAGCACTTATGTTCTAGAGGGATGGACACAGTAAGCAATGAGCAGGGCTGGCACGTACTTGGTGCTTGACCAATTATGTGGAATGTTCCTGAATGAAGTAAGTACCTAGTATGTTGGATGGTGATGAGTGGGATGCAGGCAAGGGGGTGGAGGCTCTGAGGCTGGTGTGGGGCTCAGTTGTAAAGAGGGTGGTGAGGGGAGGTCTCACTGAGAAGGTGACATTTGAGCAGAGCTGCAGGAGTGCAGGAATGAGCCCTGGAGAAGGGCGTTGCAGGGGGAGGACAGCTGGGCTTGGGGCAGGGGAACATGACCCGTGTACCCCAGAGGAGCCAGCGCTCCGAGAGTACAGATGAGGCCAGAGCAGCAAAGGTCACCGGTCACGTGGGGCCTCGGAGGGTCCTGACAGGTCTCAGAGGCAGATGGGGAGCTCTTACCTCTTCTCCTCTCTGGCCTGGCAGTCCCGGAGGACCAGGCAGGCCGGGGCTCCCAGGACAGTCGGCATCTCCGTTGATGTTGTCTCCCTGGGGACCGATGGGGACAGTAAGAGTGAGCAGCCAGGCCCTCCCCGTGGGGCGTGGGCTGGGCTGGGGAGGGCAGGCCCCACTCACCCGGGCCTCCTCGGCTCTCGGGCGCTCCCGCTCTGAGAAGCACTGCGAAGGGAAGGGCGAGGAGAGGAGCTCCGTCAGGCGAGGCGGCTGGGGAGCCCCCCACCCCCCGCACCGGCTGCCCCCAGCCCAGTCCCTACCCCGGCACAGCTGTCGAGGCCTGGCACACCGGGGATGCCCTGGTCCCCCTTTTCGCCTTTCTGCAGGAGGGACGCTGGGTGGGTCAACTGCCCCTGGGCACAGTCCCCACAGATGCTCTGAGGAGGAACAGGGAGAGCAGGGGTGTATGGGGCGGAGACAGCGAACGGGGCAGCCAAACTCAGAGCCCACAGCCCGGGCCCCCTGCCCGCAGCCCTCCGCCCACATTCTCTCCCTCCCCAGCCACGTCCCCGCCGCAGCTTTGCTCCATCCTGGGGCGACCCACTCCCAACAATTGGCTCTGAGTTTCCTCCAGGAAGAAGCTCGGGTAGGGCTAAGCCAAAGCCACTTTCCAGACAGGCGTGTGGGAGGAGGTGGAGGGGCCCACGGAGGGACCATCTGTCCCGGCTGTTCCTGCAACCTGCACCCACTGCGAGGACAAGCCTCGAGGAGTGAGGCTGAAGAGGCTGGCTCCAAACGCCAGCCTCTCTGCCCCGGGGAGCCAAGGGACAGCCGCGGGAGGAGCCAGGCCCTTCACAGACACCCCTGGGACGGGCCTGCCCTCCTTCCCCAGAGCAGGCCAAACTGCCCACGGGTTTCCCACGTCGCTGCGCCTGACCGCTCTTCCCAACAGGAAGGTCTTCCTCTAGCCCAGTGGCTTAACATTCTTTGGACCACAGATCTCTCTGAGAGTTTGACGGAAGCTATGGGTACTCTTTCCAGAGAAACCAAACCCACTAGCAAAAGCCAGCCTGCAATTTCGGAGGCCCTGGGGAGCCCGGAGCCCATCCACGGCCCACTGCAGCGTCCGTGGGCGCCGCACCCACCTTCCCTGCTCACTGCCAAGCCCAGTGACAATGGCCGTCATTTACTCAGCACCCAGATGCCACGTATCGTGATAAGCCTGTGCATGTTCTCACATCCGGGCCTGACGGTGCAGTGGGGCAGTCGTCTCACAAGCATGGTGGGGAGGAGGACGCCGACAGGCAGCGGCGCGTCTATGCTAAGTGCCAGCCCTAGCCCAGAGCCAGCGCTCCCTCGCAGGCCCTGCCTCCTCTGCGCTGCGGGTGCGTGTGGTGGCCGGGGCTCCTGGTCAGCACCCCCTGAGGTGCCATCCGGCCCTGTCTCCAGGCCACACTCAGCTCCTACTTGGGCCCTCGGTGGAGCACTTGCTTAGGAAGCCAACGGAGGGAATGTTCCAGGGGAAACGGCGAGCCCCACAATCCCTGCAGGACGTGGGGTGCCCAGGCTGACAGAAGCTTGGGGGAGAAGAGCTGGGGGCTTTGTTGCCACAACCCACTGTGACCCAACGTGGCACTGCTGCCAGGAGGTTCCCCTGCCCTCCTCTGGCTGCTTCTGGAGACATCTGCGGTTCAGAGCGAGGGCAGGGCAGACAGGGCCCGTCGGGCAGTTCCATGTCCAGCACACCGACTAGCCCATGCCAGAAAGGGTGGCTAGGACTGGGAGGGGTGGGGGGCTCTGGAAGCCAAGGCACGGGAGGGACCCCTGGGGACACTGAGCTGGAGGAGAATAAAGTCCAGCAACAAGAGGGCCACCTTCAGAAACCTAAAGGCAGCCTGAGGAATTACTGCGCTTTCATCTCTAAGGTGACTGGGCAAGGAAGGGCTGTGTGACCCTTGGTTCCCTCAGGGAACCTCCGCCCAGCTTGGGTAAGCCAGACCAGGCCACAGCCCGCTGGCGGCATCTTAAGGCCGTTTGCAGGCCCTGGCACAGGCCAATGCTCTGACCAGGCCCCAGGTGCCTGCCTCTCACCACTAGAGTGGCTTCTCAAACCCCGTCTCCTCCTGGGATTCTTTCTGCATTGACCAGAAAACATGGCTGAAGCCTTCTTCCAGGCCCCACCCAGTCCCATCAGAGAACGTGACCTTCATGGCCCCTCCCAGTGCCCTTCACCCCTCCGCTCTGCTTTGGAAGCTGCCGGGCCCTGCCCTGGTGTGACCTGGGTGCCACCAGGCCTCATCGCCAGCTGCCGCGGGCAGGCTTCGGGGCTGGGTTCTGCCGACAGCATGTGCCATGTGGGTGCCTTCACGGGACTCCTTTAAGCACTCGTTGAGCAAATGTTGCCTGGGGGGGTCTGTCACCAGCCAGGCACCAGCCAGGCCCTCTTCGACAGATGCTTGGAACGCACATTCCCAGCAAACTGCTGCTCTCTCTGTGAGGTGCCACACAGCTGAGCTCTCACTAAGGGAATCTCCCTAGGAGACGCCCCCGCCTACTCCTGCTCCCCTCCCTGGTACCTCTTACCTTAAGGAGGTGCTGTTCAATCGGTAAGGAGCCCTGCAAGAGACAGATGTGTGGCTCAGGCGGCTGAGGGAAGAGATGGAGACTTACAGGATCACGCCATGCTGTCTGGGCTTCTCCCAGCCTCAGCAGGGAGCGAAGAGGGCCCCCACTGCAGCTAGAGGGCCAGCTGCACGGCCCGCTCAGCCCTGGGAGAAGGCAGGGAGGGGATGGACGGCCAGCCCTGGCCAGTACCCACCAGCTCTGCAGTCAGCCCAGGCTGTCCTGGCAGACCGTTGTTTCCAGGCACTCCCTGCAGCCAAGAGGAGACACGGGTGAGTGGACCCTGCTCTAGCCCACCGGTCAGCCTGCCTCCTTCCCGTCACTCCCCCACCCCCGCCTCTTGCCCTCGTCCTGCAGTGCTCAGAGCCCTGGCTGGCACAAGACTGACATCTATTCTTAGCCTGGAAGTCTGTGGACCCTTTGTAGGGAAGCTGAGTGGGCCCAGAGGAAGGACCCCCCAAAACCAGCCCAACAGAGAATGTTTCCCCCATGTCAGGGGAAGCTCAGAAATTGGGCAGAAGGTCTTCCATAAGTAACTGTTGTTTCTTTCTGTGCTAAGTAGTCTTTCTATATTTTCTCATTTCATCATCACAGTTTTATCTTGGTGAGCTGGGTATTATGTCCATCTTAAAAACAGCACAAAAAACCTCAGAGAGTTAAGTAACTTTCAAAAGGTCACAAGTTGAGCAAGGCACAGAGCTGACATTCAGAGTGAGGAATCTATCCAACCTCTCTCTTAACTACTATTTCAGCACCATTTCTCAAAAGACATCCCCAAAATGTTCATGTACACAGCAAGGGTGGATTCTTGCCAATCAGACCCATCTAGGTGCAAATCCTGAATACCTGTATAATTTTGGCAGGGTAACTTAGAAAAAAAAAATTAGTGCCTCAGTTTCCCTATCTGTGAAACAGGGATACTTTATGGTGAGGCTTCAAGGAGACAATGGCTGTCAGGATGTTCATGTTAAATGTCTGCTACCCAGGCTCCTCCCCTTGCAGACTCACAGGCACATCTGCATATTAAACACTCCATGGTGGCAGGGAGTATGCTCCGAGTTAAATCCCCAGTGCCCGACATGGAGGAGGCAAGTACGTGCCCGGTGAACGCACCGCTGCTCCGCCTGCTCCTCCCTGTGGAGGATTTCCTTGGCTCACTCTGCAATCTGGCCTCCCTTCAAGTCCCAGCTCCAGCAATGGGACACACCACCTGCCACAGAGCAGCCAGGGCAGACCCTACCAGGCCTGGGTCACACTTGAGTCAGCCAGCCCCTCTAGCACCCCCATCTGGGCTTAGAGCAGTGCCTGGCACAGGGAAAATGCCTTAATTATTAGGCTTCTAAATTATTATTCACCCTCTGCCCCTGTCTCCATGCCAGTGTGTCAGTTCAAGCCTGACACTCTGTGATTGTCTCCCTGCCCTCCCAGAACTAAACGTTCCACCTGTTGTTCTGCCATAGGAGTGAAGAGTGCAACCTGAGTTTAAACCTGGGCTCAATGATCCACTCGCTGTATAGACTCAGGCTCGTTTCTTAGCCTCCATGCCCAGTGTCCTCATCTGAGAGAAGGATCAGGATGAAATGAGATAACCGAGCATTGGGACGATGCAGCCTTGGGTGGGTAAGTGCCATACATCTCTGAGGCTGCTTCTGTCCCTGCAGAGATGGGGAGGTGCCTGCTGGCGGCAGCCTCGGCTCAGTCTCGGGCACGGGCACTAGACGAGGACCCTGGTGCCTGGGACCAGACTCATAAGTCACTCTTTCTGCCTCATTCCCCCTCACATGTCTTGGCAGGGTTTATACTACATCACTCTCGCTCGTTAATGGGTCACTTTGAAATGACTCTCACACTTCCCCAAGCAAAACTGCAAGCCCTTTGCAGACAGATTCCTGTTTCCCGGCAGCGTGGCTGCAAACGTGTGGTGTGGGACGTGGGACTCAGCACTCCCGACCGGGGCAGAGGGAACTGGAATCCTGGCGGAGACGCCCATCAGCAGTGGTGGCTCAACAGAGCAGGTTCCCAGCTCAGGGTGGCAGGCAAGGCATGCGGGGGGCGGGGGTTACAGAGACGAAATGTATCAAATCAATAGGGCAGGGCGGAGCAGCTTATAAAAAGCTTCCCTGTGATTCTGCCCTGCTTCTTTGGGTAAGAATCACTCTTTCAGGAGCTGGAAGCCAGACACACGGAAGGTGCTATCTGTGTCTTCTAGAGTCTCCAGAAAAGGTGGCCTGGTGTGCAAACCACCGGGGAGCTGTCCTGAAAGGCAGGGAGCAAAGGTGCTCTGCGCAAGGAATCACCAGTCCAGCGTTGCCAATTCCTAGCTGGCTGACCTTGGACGCGGTACTCCAGTTCTCAGAGCCTCAGCTTTCCCAGCTGTGACTTAGGAATAACAACTCCTTCCTTTTGGGCATGATGTATGTCTCAAATGAATAAAAGAATGGACATAAAATAATAATAGTAGTCATTGTCATGCTAATGATGACAGCTAATGCCTTCCAAGCCTTTCTTATGTGCCAGGCCCAGTTCTATACATTTCACATGCATTAATTTGTTTACTACTCACAAAAGCCCTAGTGGGTAGGTGTACTTAACAGATGAAGGCAGCGAGACACAGAGAGGTTATGGAACTTGCCCAGCACCACACAGCAAGCACATGGCAGAGCTGGGATTCAGGCTACTGGCTCTGGAACGAACTCTCTAATCACAAATGCCACACAGGTCTCAAATCCTAATGCTCTCTTCTCACTACCTATGGCCTTCTTGCTGTTCCCCAAGCACACCAGGCACATTCCTACCTCTGGACCTTTGCACCTGCTGCTTTCTCTGCCAGAAAGTCTCCCTCACTCCTCATTTCCTTTAAGTTTTGATTCAAATGTCATCTTCTTTATAGCACATTTTGCAAATATCTTTCTTGCCCTCCTCCAATTTTCTATCTCTACTCCCTGCTCTTTCTCCTAAGCGAGTATCACTTTCTAACATACTGTATTTTATCTTGTATATTGTCTGTCTCTCCAACTAGAAAGCAAGCTCTTTTATTTTTGTGCTCTGCCATATCTCCAGCACCTAAAACAGTGCCTGGAAAATAGCAGATGTGCAAAAATACGCGTTGCATGAATGAACATTGAATGCTGCTTCCAAACGGCGGAGCTCTGTACCACTGTAAGGGATTTTTATCTGACCCACATTCTGGGTTCCTGGCAGCTGATACAACAGGGCATTCCTCGAAATATGGCTGGGAGTGCATGCAACCTGGCCTAAGGGACCCTCGGGCCCTGCATGCCACGCTGGGAAACAGATGCATGAAGAAGTGAGAAATGACATGTGTATGTGATTGGGGCTTGGGGGCAGCGTCCTCAGGGTTCAGCATGGAGCATGAGCCCTGCCACCCAAACTCCTCATTCTCTCCCCCACCTTACCTGCAGCCCAGGTACTCCGGGGGGGCCTGGTGGTCCAGGAACACCTGGGGGACCCTGAGGGAGAGAAGAAGGAATCAGAGCCAGAAGGGCGCTCTGCCCCGCGGCTGGGGCAGCAGGTCAGGGTGGGCAAGCTGTGGGGCGCTGGCAGACAAGAGGAGAGACGGAGGGGACAAGCAACACACACCTGCGGGCCCGGCTGCCAGGAGTTGCCCATCCACAGTCCCGGAGCACCCTGGGTGGGAGTGGGGGTCGCAAAAGAAGGGCCGAGGTTATAGGCAACGTCCACACCAAGCGCAGGGCTGCGTGAGGCGGCGGCTGGCTGGGGCGCGAAGCCCTGCGGGGCCCTTGCACACTGGGCACAGGTGAGGCTGGAAGCGGGGCCTCTGCCCGGGGCTGGGGAGGCTGTCAGCACCACTTACCGGCATGCCAGAGAACACAGGATCTCCTCGAGAGGGGCAGGAGCACTCCCCGGGCTCGCCCTGAAAAGACAAGAGCCTTTGTGAGAGGGAGGCAGGACAGAGGGCCCTCTGGAAACCGATATCCTGCAGATGACATGGGCTCTGGAGATGGAGGGGCCAGGGTTTAAATCCAGGGCCTGCCTCTTAAGACTGTGCCTTTTGGCAACCTGTTTCACCTGTCTGCACCTCAGCCTCCTCGTCTGTAAAACAGGGATAATTCCAAACGCATAGGCTGTCTGGAGGATGGAATGAATTAGCGTATATAGGGGTCCTGTTGCACGGCCAGTATTCAGCGGCCACTGCTGTTAAAGTTGTCACTTAGTCACATCATTGCTGCTGCTCAGGGATTCTCACCTCCAGGATGGTCACAGCTCAACCCGCTACAGCCCCGCTCCTCTGGGCCCAGCCTGGCTTCCATGCCCTTCTCCTGGGGCCCCCAGCTCTCTGCCCGCTCCCCACTAGTCCCTCCCAGCTCACTTCCTGCCCCAGCCTCTCACTCAGCCCCCATTTGAAAATGCAGCTGCCCACTAAGGGGGATTGGGGGTCTCCGGTCTCCTGTGATGGTGCGTGAGTCCTGGGCCAGCAACCAGGTGAAGTTAGGAGTATCTGGGGCGCCTGGAATCAGGGAGCTGGTGAGTAGCAAGGAGACCAGGAGGCCTCCTCTGTCCCTGTCCCAGTCCAAGGCAGCTACCGTGTGCACAGGTTCTCCTGGGTGGGGTGCGGGAGGGGCTGCTACCTCCCCCCGAGTATTGGTCACAGGTCCTCAGGACTTACCTTTTCCCCTTGCGATCCCTTTTCACCCTGCAGAGAAGCAACACAGGAAGATGAGTAGACAGGGTTGCGGAGGCAGGGCCAGCCATGGTGTCCTGCTGCCCCGAGACCCGGTACTCACTGGCATCCCTCTGGCTCCTGGAAGTCCGCTCTGTCCTTGCTGCCCATCACGGCCCTGAAGGGAGAGAGCCCAGAGTCAGCCGCCTGGCCACCTGCAGAGAAGGGCAGCAGGACAAACAGAAGCAGCGCCGGCTCCCCTGGGGCCCAGGTCCCAGTGCCCATGTTCTAGAGGAGGAGATAGAGCCACAGGAGGTGAGGTGGAGGGGAAGGAGACCAGCATTTCCTGAGCACCTCTGGGTCCCAGACACCAGGCCAAGGACCTGTCCGAGAACATTGACCAGAACCCTACTCCCAGCCCAGCAGGATGGTATTGTTCTGTTTTTCAGGTGAGGAAATTGAGGCTTGAAGAAATTTCATAACAGACTCAACCACACAATTGCGCCCAGGTCTGTCCGGCCCGAAGTCCCTGCTCTTTCCTGTCTCCCTTCCATGCTTGAGACACATTCTATCTATCACAAAGTCACCTCTGTTCATGTCACAGGGAGAAAGGCATTTCAGCCCCGACTTTATCCCCTAGGGACTGGAGACTCTGGGAAGCTGTCACTTGCCTAAGGTCACACAACTAGCGAGTGTGGGGCTGGGATTAGGAAACCTCCTGGATGGGATTCAGCTTGAGGGGAGGTCTGGAGAGTTCTGGAAAGGAAGGCAGCTTGGGCAAAGGCATGGTATCTGCTCAGGCCAGGAGAGGCCATCCCGTGCACTCAGACGGTGTCCCCATGGCTGCTGTCCTAGGGGACCCGCCACCTTCACAAGTGGGACTCGAAGCTCCCTGAGCACCAGGACCATGTCTCTCCCCTGACCCTGGGGCTCCCCGGGACAGGCAGGGACCCTGACTGTGTGGCTGTGCTGGACAACACAGACTGGCTGCATAGGATGCTCAGGCGAGTCCCCGTCCCCTCTGGACACTGGGGCCCTCTCGATCCATCAGCGATTCCCAAACTGGACCTAGAATTTCTCTAGGGATCCGCAAAGATAGGAAAGAATACAGTGCACTGGGCCATTTTCAACATTATCAAAAGCCCAAGAAAAATTATACATTTGCCCACCACCTGGCATGGCAGAGGCGGGCTGAAAGGCAGCATTTCTTTGATTCAGACCAAAATTATATCATCTTGTAAAATTCTAGTGGGTTCATGTGGAGTAGAAGCTGCCTATTATACAGGTCTTTGATGACTAAAAATGAGAAAATGCACTTAGGATTACTTAATCTATGTAATTTGCTCAATAGGCACATCTTTTAAAACATGGGAGTCGCTGGGGAACAGTAGCAGAGGGGAGGTCTTTGAGGGTAATGACACTGGACATAGCTGGTCCAGGTCTGTGCTCTCCCTGTGGTAGCCAATAGCCACACGTGGCTATTTAAATTTAAATTAATTACGATAAAAAGAAACTTAAAACTGAGCTGCTCAGTCACACCAGCCACATTTCAGGTGCTCAGGTGCCACACATGGCTCCTGTCTCAGGCAGTGCCGACAGAACATTCCACCATCACAGACGGTTCTGCCGGGCAGCGCCCCGAACAACTCCAGGGTTTGCAGCTGGGGATGGGCATTGGGTCAGACAGACCCGGGTCAAGTCCTTGACTCTGCCTCCTCGCTCTCTGGCCTTCAGCTTCCTTATCTATGAAATGGGACAATGATGGCAGTCACCTGGCTGGGCTGCTGTGAGGATTAAGTGAACTTCTGTGTGTTTAGAACTTAGCACAGAGACTCAGCATCAGCACTGCTCACAAAACAGTGGTGAGCACTAGTGTGATTATTCAGTCACTGCCCAAACAGTGCGGTCTTCCCTCTCTGAGGCTGGGAAGACTGAGGCCTCTCTCCTCCCATCCCCAAGGCTGCTGGGATGGGCAGGGTCAGCCCCGTGCCCTTTTCCCAGCAGCGACGTCCTCGGTCCCCACAGCACCCTCAGCATGGAAGGCAGAGAAGACTCACCGGAGGCCCAGAGACACCGGCACCAGGAGGCCCCACAGGTCCCATGGCTCCTTTCACCCCTGGAGATCCCTGTGCGAGAGAGGGGACAAAGGTTGCAGGGGCGGAATTGGAAGCTAGCTGTGATCCAGCAGGCAAGACGCATCAGACCAGGTCTCGGGCAGCGCTCTGATGGGCCTCACTCGACCCACACGTCCCCTGAGCCCACTGCCAGGGCGCTCTGAAGCACTGCAGGCCCGATCCCCACGCAGGCAGAGGCTCACCTGGGCACCCTTCTCTCCAGTGGGGCCAGGTGGTCCCCGAGGTCCAGGAAGTCCCTGCAGATGGAAGCACAATTAGTTACCCCTTACCTGCAGTAGTCCCTTCCCCTGCCAGCCTCCTCCAGGCCCAAGGCAGACGTACCTGAATGCCAGGCAAACCCTGGGCTCCAGGCTCCCCCTGCAAGTCAGAAAGGGCAATGGGGCACAGCAGCCCTTACCAACCTGTCCCACTGGCCCTGGCCCACTGGAAGACCTGTCTCAGGTGAGGCATCTGCCAGCCCAAACTCAGGGGAGCTTCCAAGGAGACCCTGAGATCCAGAGAGGTGGGGATCGAAGCCAAGTCCCGGACAGAAGCAACAGCAGGCCAGGGCTGCTGCCTGAGCCCTGGTCCCAGAGCTGAGCCCTTGAGCATTTTGGGGATGGGTTGGAGTAAGCAGCTGGCAAATGAGGGTGTCAGGGGCAGGTAAAGGTAAGGCTGGAGACTCACCTGGGGCCCCTGAGCTCCCCTTCCTGGAGGCCCTGGCTCTCCCTGCAGAGGCAGAAGGACAATCCCTGGCTCTAGGTTACCCATTCCCCCTTCACCCTTCTCCCAGCCCTTCTACCCCACCTTCTCCCCACTTTCTTCCCCCTGCTCTTATCCTGCCCCCATTCCTCACCTCATTGCAGCCCACACCCATGCGTCTCCCCTCGCCCCCTTCCCCACACACAGCCACAGCCAAGCCCCAGACTCATACACACCTGTATGCCCTTCAGTCCTGGGGGCCCTTGAACTCCCGGGAGACCAGGCTGGCCCTAAAAGGTACAAGGTGGCCCATGGAGTCCTCATGGGGGAAGGGGGACAGGAGGAAGAGAAGGCAAAGCCCAGGGAGGGAGGGATCAGGGGGCAAGGCAACTCACGGGTTTACCAGGTCGGCCCACGCCTTCTGGGCCCTGATCTCCTTTGGGGCCGGGCTTCCCAGGCAGTCCTGCCATGTTGGTCTGTGCCCCCTGCAGGCTGGGGCAGGCAGTGCAGCCATCGCCCTGGTCAGAGACAGGCACAGGCAGGAGCCGGTGAGCCAGGGCTGTCAGCCAGGAGGTTTTGCAATGGGGTCCTCATGTCTCCTGAGAGCTTTGCCCCTTCACTGCCCCCATCTCAGCCTGGGAAGTCAAACAGGCCCTGCTGCTCCTAGCCTCCACCCAGTGGTCCCGGCACTGCCGACGGCTCCTGCTCTAGTGGACCCTGCAACCCATCCCTCATCGGTGCACCACCTGCTTTCTTTTTGCACATGCAATGAACTGTCCCCCAACACCTGACTGACCTTTTCTCCTTTTGGTCCCACAGGGCCCCGAACTCCAGGCTCTCCCGACAGTCCCGGCTGCCCCATAGTGCCTGGGGTTCCAGGGTCTCCAGGATTCCCAGCATCACCCTGCAAGGAGTGGGGTTGAAGGAGGGCGGGGGGCCCACTGGGGGCAGGTTGCCCTTCAGGACCCGCCAGGACTGGGGGGCCGGGGCTTGGAGGGGCGTGGAGAGTGGGCACAGGCCACCCAGGGAAAGGAGGTGGGAGGGCATCGGAGAGGAGGCGGTGCCCACCCACGTGCCCACTGCGGTTCTCTCACCTTCTGCCCCTTCAGCCCGCGCTCTCCAGCCTTGCCCTGCGGAGAAAGCAGGCGGCACCACTCACTCACACTGGGCCGCCCGCAGCGCCCGCTGTGTCCGGCCAGGCACACAGCAGCAAACAAAACGCGAAATCTCTGCTCTCCTGCTGTGAAGCAATCTCCCGAGGGCTAAGTGACTCGTGCCAGACCCCGCCCGGGTGGCCTGGGCAGGTTACCTCACCCTTCTTTGTGCTTCAGTTTCCTCCTCTGTCTGGGGGATGATAACAATATATAGTATGCTCCCATCTTCCCGTGGGGCTAGACCAGCTGATATGTGTGAAGCAGCGCGCGGCACGTGGCGGCCACCGTGCCAGTGCCTGCTGTCACTGTTAGAGCAGTGACAATACCGTTGACCACAGAGGCAACTGCCGTTTCCTGAGTCCCTATTACGTGCTGCTCAGCGCCCCACACACATCATTCCTACGCTTCACGACCACGCGTGTGGCGGAAGAGCGGTCCAGAAAGAAAAGCAACTTGCTAAAGTCAAAGAGGTGGTAAGGCGCAGAGCTGGGATTGGAACCAGTGTGGCTGGTCCTAGGCTGATGTTCTTTCTGGCCTGTGCTATGACCCAGGGTAAAGGGCAGAGGCCCTGACCCCTCCGCATACTCCCACCTGCCCACTGCCCAGGAGGTCAAGACTCAGGCAGGACTCCTCCATCTCGAGCCCCGCCTCTGTCCCACCTCACCTGTTTTCCTGGCAGGCCGAAGCCCGGAGCCCCAGGCTCCCCCTTCTCTCCTGCCGGGCCAGGCAAGGCCACCACGCGGACGTCCCCATCCTGAGGGCTGGACAGGGCTGCGCATGGCTCACAGGGCTCCCCCTGCCGAGTGAGGACACTGGGTCAGGGTGGCGCCAGGCCGGGTGCACTAGGGCCAGGCTTGGCTTCTGGGCCCAGGGAATGCAGCCGGTCCTGACCCAGCGCCTTTGCTAGGCGAGAGGTACCTCAGGGGAGACTGAGGGAGAGCAGGGGAGTGACAAGAACAGGGCCAAGTTTTCTGGGGTCTTGACGCTGTGCTGAAGAGTCAGGCCTTGCCCACCAGGCGGTGAGGAGCCACGGAAGGCTCAAGGTAGAGCAAGACAAGTGTGAGCCTGGGAAGCTTACCTGGCTGCACGTGGAGAACGTCCCAGACTCACCTTCGCCCCTTTGACGCCTGCTGGTCCCGCTGGCCCTGGTGGTCCCTGCATGGTAAGAAGGCACAGGTGATGCCCAGCGTCTCCCTGGGCCCTGCTGAGGCACAGCCCAAGCCTATCAGCTCCCTGGCAGGGGCTGTAACTCCCACCTGCCCTCCCCCGAGCTGTTGCCATCCGAAACATACTTACCGGACCACCAGCTGTCCCTGCCGGCCCCAAATTACCCTGAGAGCAAAGTAGAGAATGTACAGTCAAAAGTGGCCCCTTGGGATGTCTAGACTACCCTCTCCTTTCCTGCCTAGGGAAACTGAGGCCCAGAGAGGGAAAGGGATCTCCCGAGGATCCCCCAGGGAGTGTGTGGCCAGCCAGGATAGAAGCCATATTGCCGCCCCCAGCCTCACGCCACAGCATCCCAGCCCCGCCCCCAGCCCTGAGCCAGTGCAGAGATCATTTATTCATCTTTCCAGCGGCTATTCCCCGATGCCTTTCCACACTGGGCTAGGTGCTGGGTACACACAGCTTACACACCTAGAACTTTCTGAATAGTGATTTTAAACAGCCTTGAGTGCTGTGGAGGACGTAAACAAGGTGGGGGGGAGGCACTCTAGACAGGGTGGTTAGACCAGTGTCCCCGATTAGTGTCAAAGAGATGAGGAGAAGGTCAGCCAATGAACAAACAGGGGGCGGGAGAGGACAAATGTTCCAGAAGTTTCTAGTGGGAACAACAAGCACAAAATCTGAGAGGTGGGAACAGTCCTGAAGTTCCAGAGCAAAAGGAGGGCCAGTAAGCCAGAGGAGGGAGAGAAGACACAGATGAGACATCAAGGCAGGGCTGAAGACGCAAGATGAAGACGCAAAGGCAGGGCTAGGCCACCCGGGCTCCGGTGAGGCACAGAGAGGCTGCGGCACCTGGTCCAGTCCCAGAGGGACACTAAGCAGGGGAAGAACATAATGTGTCATTTGAGTTCTGCTACAAAGCCACGGTAGCTACCAGATAAAAAAGGAACAATTGAAGGACTGCTGGGGCCACAGGCAGGCTGGACAAAGGCAGTGCCGCTGTCCAGGTGAGAGGTAAGGGGACCCAGCCCATGGCGGTGGAAGTGGAGAGAGGCAGAGGGGTTGAGGGAGGTGTCCCTGGAGGGACTGTCAGGATGTGCTGGTGGCTGGAGGGAGGGGTGATGCAGGGCGAGGCGAGGTGGAGAAGCAGGGAAGAGGCAGCATGCAGCGGGGGTGGGGCGCGGTGCAAAGCTGCACGTGAGAAATGACGAGCGGGGCTGCCTGTTGGAGTCGAGTCTGCACACACTGCAGTTTCTCACGCTTAAGCACGCGTACACCCACAGAACCCCTCATTTGAGTAACACTGTGTTAGAAGTTCAAGGCTGCCATTTGTCTCCAACGCAATCATAAATAGAACCGTTAACACAGGCGCTGAGATTGAGTGACCCAGCTGAGTAGCTAAAACCACAGGCTCTGGAGCCAGCCTTCCTGGGCTCAATCCCAGGTCCGCATCTAAACACCTGCGTGATCTTGGGCAATCTACTTGACCTTACTTTGCCTCTGTTTCCTCATCCATAAGACAGGAATAATGGAGACTCTGCCCCATAAGGTTTGGGGAGGACAAAACAGGTTAATACACGTACAAGACTTGGAACATGGCCCAGCACATAATAAGCGGTAAAGAAGTGCTAAATATTATTTTATTATAAGGTAGTCTTGAATGTGCTTAATAGTTTTATATTATCATTATATTAAAAATAAAACACTAATGAATGCTCTTGGAGAACATAGGGGCTCTCTGAAATAAGTTCTTTGACTCCAGTGTGCAAAACACTGATAAATTTATTTCACTGTGAATGAACAGTCTGATCTCCTATCTGTACTGTCCCCATTCCCTACCCAGGGCCACCCCTCCCCTGCCACCCTGCCAAGAAGCCCTGGTGTCCCTGACATCTAATCCAGGTCTCACCTTCTCTCCTTTCAGCCCTGTTGGCCCCGGAGCCCCAGGTTTCCCCTGAAAAACAACCAAAGACAGAGTCACAGTATCTCCCTACTCCCACCCTCCAAGATCCCCTGGGTCCCAGCATCCAACCAGAAAGAGGAAGGCAAGATCGGAATTAGGGATCCCACAACCCTGGCTGGACAGTTTCCTCAGTTAGACAGTTGGGCACTCGGAAGTGCTAAGAGGAAGTCTCAGGGCAAGTAGCTTGGGCAGCACAGGGATGGAGGGAGGGACCAGGATGCAGGCCTGGGACACCTGCCTCACGGTTTCCCTCTTGGTCTCTACCCTGAGACTTGGGATCGGGAAAGCCAGGAAGGTCACCAGCATGGCAAGGATGGGCAGGACCGACTGGGGGAAAGCAGTCACTCACCGGGAGGCCAGGCAAACCAAAGCCTGGAGAGCCCACCTCTCCGCTGGCCCCTGCAGAGGGCCTGAGATGCAGGGCCCCTGCAACAATGTCGCAAGACGAGCAGGGCTCCCCCTGGGGAAGGAGAATGGCTCAGAAAGGCTCCCAGGTAGGCAGAGGAGGGCAGCAGGGGACTGGGGCTCCCTCACCTTCTCTCCTTTGATGCCTTGGATGCCTTGGATTCCCTGCAGGGAAAAAAGGTTTGCAAGCTGACACTGGGCACGTTGGGACGCCCCAAACTCCCTGGCAATATATAAGGACATCAATGTCACACACACACAAACCCGTCAAACACCCCACTGGGTGTTAATGCAGGTACACTGGTCCCATGGGGTTCAAGGCCAGCACCCCAGAGGCAGGGTTTATCAACCCATGTAACAAGAGAGAGAAATGAGGCCAGGCTAAATTACTCCAACGGGAAGTTCCTGCACATACCCGGTCACCTTTTTGTCCGACAGTTCCCAGGTGCTCCTGAAAGAAAGGGTCTGTGAGGGCATGGGGTGGGGAGTCCAGGCCAGGATCCTAACCCAGTCCTGCCCACTCCTCTTCTCCACCTCCAGCCAATGCCCAATCCTAGGGCACAGCCTCACTCACAATAAGGGTGGGCTCCACCCCCGCTTGCCTAAAAGGCATCCTAGAGTCTCCTGGAGAGCCCTGGGAGGTTGCTGTGGAGAGCTGGGGTAGTACTCTAGCCCAGCTCTAATCTCTATGGTTCAGACCCCCACCACCACAGTCACAACTAGACCCTCTGCCCACAACCTCTCTGTGGCTGTGAGAAGTACCCAGGCCCTCTGCCCAATTCCTCTCTATGGTCATGCCCCCAGGTTTCTTTGTGTGTCTGGTGGGGGTCCCTCAGTGGCACTCACCCTGGCTGGTGCAGGATCACCTGGTTCCCCTTTGGGTCCTGGCCTTCCGGGGAGCCCCACAATGTTCTGGAAGCCTTCAGGCAGTGTTGGACACACTTCACAGGGGTCACCCTAGCAGAAGGGAGAGACCATGAGTGGAGAGGGTGGGGCTGGGAAGGCAAGGAGCCTGCTGTCCACACCAACTCTAGACATAGGGGAGGCCGGCACCCCACCCCCAACATCAAAGTGGACAGCAGGAGCCCTGCAGAGACTTCCTGTTCAACTGACTCATTCGTTCAACCCAGGATTCTCAGACATCACAAAGCTACATCCTCCCAACAAGCCGTATGAAATAACTGTGCCCCACAGACAGGTGAAAACCTGGGCTAAGAGAGAAGCTAATTGACTTGCGGCACTCATAGTGTGTGTGTGTGTGTGGCAGAGGCAGGATTTGAACTCAGCTAACGCCCTGGCCAGGCTCTTTATGTACCAATCACACCTGCACTCCACAGGAATAAAGAAGGGCGGGTGTCTCTGAGGAACGTCCAGCAACCCTGGGCCCCTGATGCTCAGAGTCGCCTGCAGAGGGGGGCTCCCATGCCCACCCCGACCTGGGGCAACCAGGCCTGGGACTCACCTTCTCTCCCTTCGCCCCCGGCTTCCCCTGTTGGAGAAGAAGCAGTGGGTGTCAGCCCAGGGCAGAGGGCTGGTGTCCCCGCACAGGGCCCAAGGACCCAGCCCCTCGCTCCGGAGGCCTTGGAAGAGCCGACTTGAGCATGTGGCCACCACACCCTCCCCTCCAGACCAGGGTCACTCACGGGTTTCCCACCAGGGCCTTCCTTTCCTGGAATCCCGGAGCTGCCCTGTGGTCAGAAGAAAGGTTAAAGGGGACCCTCCTGGCCAATGTGACCTCAGCCCATCCCCCTACCCCATCTGGTCCCCTCTCTGGGTGGCAGGACAATCTCTGCCAACTCTCCCATCTCCGTTTGGTCCATTTGGTCACTAAACCCTCCTTCCTGGTGCCAGTCCTTCTTCACGTCTAACCCAAGCCCTTCTGGGTTGCAAAAGAAGGAAGAATATGGGCCTCTGTGCAGCAAGTTAGGAGGTGATCCGAGTGACCCCAGAGGAACCACAGCAGTCAGTCAGACAGACAGACAGACATTTCCAGGGCTTTCTGTTCATCAAGTCACAAGGCCCTAAAATGAGCTTAGGCCCTATGGTTAAGGCCACTCTGGTTAAGGCCACTCTGGTCAAGGCCACTCTGGTCACTACTAGACCAGAGCCGCCCAGCCCCGTGTCTGGAACACAGGCCGGGCTCCCACCTCAGTGGGCACAGAGGAGGACACTGCCCCAGCTAGGGGCCCAGCCTCTCCAGCCACATGCCCAGCCTCTCCCGGGGACATGCTTGCTGCCCCGACCCACTCTCCTCTGTCCTCCTGCCATGCATCAAGCGCCCCATGGGCCGCACTCCTGCCTCTGCTTACCTTGTCGCCCTTAGGGCCTGGTGGGCCACCTGGATCCCCCTGAGGGCAGAAACAGGGTCAGGTGGAAGTCTCCCAGGGCCTCTGTAGGCAGTGAGATCTTCTACCCTCACCCCTTCCTCCCACCAGGACCCTGAGAAAGACCTTATCTCCTGCGCCCTGGCCAGGGCGGGAGAGGGGTCCCCGAGAAAAGGACAGCAGGAGAGGTAAGGGGGTACTCACCGGGGTCCCAGGCAGTCCTATCCCAGGGGGCCCCGGGAGGCCAGGGGGCCCGGGCTCTCCTGCCAGCCCCTCAGGCCCAACGAAGCCAGGATCTCCCTGGCACAGACATAAGGTGCTCGTGAGAGAGTTGCCGCCTCAACCCTGCCACCTCCTCTCCGCGCCATGGACGCCACACTCACCTTCTGCCCTTTGGGCCCGATGACACAGATCTCTCCTGGCCGGCCCTGTGGGGAAGGGGAGGGCGTGAGACCCGCTGAGACCCGGCTCCTCCCCCTCTAGGACGGTTGAATACCCCCTGTCCCACCTCCCTGCCTCTCCCCAAGCCAGAGCCACCCAGTGCCCCAACGTCATCGCGTGTCAACCCCAGGGCCTTAGAGGTCAGGGCTCAAAGGCTGGGAGTCAGGAGGCACCCAGCTCCCACCCCCCACACTCCACCCCCATTCTCCTGTCCGAGCAAGGAGAGAGGCGGATGCCCGTGGGTCAATCCCAGCACTCTGCGACCCCGTGCTGGTGCTGGGGTCGTGGCGGGGAAGGGCCCCAAGCTCCGTACGTCTCGGCCTGGCTTTCCCGGCAGGCCCTTCAAGCCTCCGTCGCCCTTCTCGCCTTTCTGGCCCTGGTGGAAGGAAGAGGCAAAGTGACCAGGCTTGAGAGAAGGCACTGGAACAACCAGGACAGCTCCACTGGGGGAGGGACACCTGCTTTCTAGATCCCCGGTCTCTGCCTCCCTGGAGGTGAATGGCTTCAGTCACCACAAGAGGGTAGACAACAGGAAGAACTTCCAGACCAGCCAGGCCACTCTCTGGGACTGGCAGGTATTTGGACAGGCGGGAGGGGCCGGGTCCTGCCAACTCTGCGCACTGACAGCGCCGCTAGGAGGACTTTGGGCACTTCCTTCCCCGTGTGTGTGGGGCCCGCAGACCTCCTAGCACCCACTCCTCCAGGTCCGGGCCTGTTACCTTCTGGCCTGTGGAGCCTGGGAGTCCTGAGGGTCCCTGAGATGAGGAGGGGACACAAAGGAAGGGGTGAGGAAGGGAGGGTGAGGCTGGGCCAGGACCCCCGCCCCCCACCCCACCCCTGACCCCACACTCACCAAAGCTCCCGACTCCCCCTTTTCTCCCTTCGGGCCCTCTGCACACTGAACAGGGAGACGAGGTGTTGAGAGGGGCCCAGGGTCACCTGATGGGCTGCCAAGGGTGCACCCCTGTCCCCAGGGGCTGCCCCATAGTGGCCCCGAAGCAGGCCTCACCTCCAGGTCTTACCTGAAGCGGGGCATCCGGGGAGATTCGAACACAGTCATTGCCCTGAGGGTAGGGAACAAGGGATCAGGGGGCCTCCTGGGGGGGCACCCTAGACCTGTTGTGAGGAGGACAGGCCCAGGAATCCCACATCCCATAGGCCCAAATGTCCCTAGAAAATAGAAGCTTCCACACACTAACCCCTAGGAAGTCCCTGGCCCTCAGCCCTGATTTGGGTCAGGCTATGGGCTTTGGGCTGAGATGATGCTCATGGCCCACCCGCCCCAGGGCACTGGGAAGGGTCCTGCCATGGGCACAGCCGGGGCACTTACCCGTGCTCCCTTCTCTCCCTTGGGGCCTGACGGACCAGGCGGTCCCTGCTCACCTTTCCCTCCCTGTGGGTGAAACCAGAATGGAGGCTGGGGACACACAGGAGCCTCAAGGAAGCGGCCCCCACCCCTGGTTTCCTCCACCCAACCAGCACACATGGGTGTGCAAACATGCACATAAACGGGCAGTGCCCAGCCCACCCCAACCCCCAACACGCACACGCATCCATCCACATGCCCCACGCCAAGAGGCTGCATGTGGCAAATCTACGGTCTCAGGCAGAGGGTACACCTTCCCCTATACCCATACCCCGGCATGTCACCCACACCCGCACATCTAGAGGCACATGGACACCTGCGCATGGACACACATGTGCAGAGTGGCAGAAACCCAGGACGACTGAGTGTCAGGCTGCCTGAGGTCGAATCTTGTGCCTGCTAGCATGTGAGTCAGGGCAAGTCATGTCATCTCTGTGACACCACTTCCTCATCAATAAAATGGGGTTCATGAGCACACACTCCCTTCCCACACAAGCTCTGTGGCCCCATTGGGCTCACAGGTATATGGGTTCAACCCAGCCCCTAGTGGGCCACATGCATGAAAACATGTGTCCCAGAGATGCCTGCAGCCACACCCATGCACAATCACTCTGACACACCCAATCACACACACGTGGGCATAGTTTGGCCTCAGTTTCCCCTGAAGTGAAATGATAGCTCTCACCCCACAGGATGAGAATTGAGGGGCCTCGGAAGGTAACAGATGTGCACAGGTGTGGTCCAGGGCCTGGTGCACAGTAGGGCCTCAGGAAAGGGCAGCTCTTAACATTTGTGTACACACACAACCCCCACTCTCTCCGACACACACCCTGCACATATAAGGCTCCAGTAGTCCAGCTATAAACACACAGCCACGGGGTCACATGCTGTGGAATGGCCGGGGGCCACCAAAGAGGACAAAAGTGTCCTATTCTCTATTAGGACTCACCTTGGGGCCAGAGGGACCGAGTGTGACCTGAGGGGATAGAAGAGAGAGCATTACACCTCAGGGAGGGAGAGAAAACCAGGGGCTCAGGGAGCGTAAGCAATTTAGCCAAGGTCACACTGCATGGTGGCAGGACCAACAGCCTGAATCCCAGGCCTTGCTCTGCCTCCCAGGTCAGTCAACCTGCTGACTCTATTTCCTAAGGATGCAAAACTTGCAGAGGATCTAATATACCTTCTCTAACTTGCCAGGCTTTGGTTGCCCCCCCCTCCTCAGTTGCTAGCATAGCATGGCTGCTTAGTTGCCATGGTTACCCTGCACATCTGTGGACCATCAGCTTTACCAGATTTCATGGGGGACTGGATTGAAAGAGGGGCAGGGAGCAGAGGGGGTACTTCCTGGTATCTCCCAAAGTCAGGGGGCTTGGAGCTGAGGGGATCTGGGGCTGTACCCTGGGGGGACCAATGTGGCACATCAACTCCGAATGGCAGGTCATGGGAACTGGGGACTCATGCTGCCCACGGAAGAGGCACAGGTGGATACCAGCTGGGCTCACACTAAGCCTCTTTCCCTCATCCTTCTAGACCCCCAGAGGGAGGCTGGGCCAGGGCCAGCTAAGGAGGTGTAGGGGACCCAGAGCCAACATGTGGCTTTTGGGGTGTAACCCAAAGTTACAGTGGGGACCGTGTAACCCTGAGCCAGCCCTTCCCCTTCTCCAGGCCTCCGAGATGACGTGTGAAACCTCCAGACAGAGCAGGCCTCAGACTGTGGGGCTGCACGACTGCAATCAGCAACCATGGTCCTGATCCGGCCCCTTCCACCACATGCCCCTCCACCCTGGACCCAGCACATGGCCAGATCACAGAGGAGGGGTGCCCTCCCACGCAGCCCTGGCTTGGTGGGGCCAGGCCTGGGGGTCAAGCGCAGCTCTGGGAGACAGGCGGAGAGGGAGTGCAAAGTGCACAAAGACCCCCTTGTCCTCAACCAGGAAGCTGCCACGCCAGCTCTGGGCAACGCCCCTTCCCAGCCCTCGCCCACCGCCCCCATGCTCCTGCCATTCACTCACATTGCTCTCCTGGGCACCAGGAACACAGGGTGGGCACTGGAAGGGAGGAACCAGCCGGGAGGTCAATTCTGAGCCCCTGGGATGAGCCCTCCTGCCACCCTCGATCCCCGCCACCCCCAAGCCCACGGGACATCACAGGGGCCTTGGGTGGAATTGAGGGCAGCATGAAGACAGCAATCCTAGAAAACAAGCCTCGCCCCTCACTTTCCAACAACCCAGACCCACAGCCGTTTTTCAGACGAGGAAACTGAAGCCCAGAGAGGAACAGCAGTGGGCCTGGGTCACACAGCATGTAGGACAGAGCGAGGCCCCGAATCCAGGGGTACTGTGACTGGGGACCGGGCTCTCCCCATGATGGTAGTGCCGTTCGCTGCCAGCTCAGCAGGAGTGTCCTCCAGGGCTAGGGGCTGTCCACCAACCCCACCAACCCCAGCACTGGACCCCCAAGGAGTACTGGGAGCTGTGCAGTCATCCTGCATGCCATGCCCAGGCCCCGAGCCCAAAGGGTTAGGCTGACACCTCCTCAACCGAGCCCTGTTGTCGTGCCAGAGCAGATGGGAGGCTCACCTCATCGCCTGCCGCCTCCCGAGGGGCCTGGGAAGAGAGGGGCGTGGGAATGGGCAGGGAGCTCGGGGATCAGGCACGGCTGCCAATACCCCCACCTGAGAACCAGCAAGGGTGGGCCAGGCCCTGTGTCTGTCTCACCCTGTCTGTCTGTCCTCAGAGCTGGCACCTACAGGGCCTAAGCTCTGTCCAGGAGTGGGGGCAGGCAGGAAGAGAGTGGGGGTGGAGTGCCTCATCTAAGGGGGTTACAGAGGGCCCCTCCCCCACCCTCTGCATCTACCTTCGCTCCCCTTTCTGCCTTCTGGCTGGTTCTTCTCGTCAGCTGGGCATCCACCTGGGCACACAGGCAAAGAGGAACCCTTGAGGAGGGGGAAATTCTGGGGTCCACACTGGAAAGGAACACCCAGGTGGGGGCAGGGACCTCAGGGAGGCTTCAGCCTGGCATCTGGCACCTCCCAGGTTATCAAGGGCCTGCTCAGGTCCCTGAGGCCACCCCACAGCTCCCCTTTCTTCCCCCACCCATGTGATGTCGGAGAAAACAAGGCCGGGAATCAATGGGGTCCTGTGTTCCTGCAGCCGAAGGCTGGGCAGGGCGCCTGGTGGGCGGGAGACTGCCAGCCAGGGTGGGGCTGAGGGAGGAACTGGGCTTCCCTTCCACCTCCAAAGAGCCTAGGGATGGGCAGGGCAGCTGGCCATGGTGCTGGGCATAGAACCCATTGAGCACTGGCTGGTGCTGGGCCCAGGAGGGTGAGCCAGCCCTGGTGGAAGCGGTGCAATGTGGCCTTCAACCCCAAGTGTCTCTGTCCTGGAGAAACTGCCTTTGGGGTCGAGCCTGGTCCTGCCCTCATCAGAAGGGTCTGGGTGGCATCAGTGAGGGTCTGGGCAGTGCCAGAACTGGATGGGCATAGCTCTCAATGCCAATAGGTAGGCAGGCACAGGGTCACCCAGTGGGCCGTCCGTCTCTGCCTCCCCGAATCCTATAGGGGCAGTATGCAAATAGTTGGGGCTTCCAGTGCCCTTCCTACACTGGGCACATGGCCGACTGACCCTGGTGGCAGACCTCAGTCAGGTGAGGGGAGGGGTAGTCCTGCTTGTGTCTGCCTGTGCCCATGTCTGCCTGCCCTGCCCACCCACCTTGCTGTTTTGAGGCTCTTCCAGGCAGAAGCAGCGGGTGTAGACCTTGCCCTCAGTTTGTGGATTGATCTCGATGAGCTCATTGTTCTGGGTGTCCCGGCGGGCCTTGGAGGTCTCTGGGGGGCACTGCTCGATGTGGGGAAGAGCTGGGTTCAGTACAGAGGCAGACTCATGCTAAGAGGCACCCCCTCACACCCCCATCTCCAGCACACTGTGTCCCCGGGCAGTGCCCAACCCTCACCAGCTACGCCAAGGCCGAGCCACTCACCCCTCCGGGTAAAATCTCACAGCAGCCCTCTTCCAGCACGAGCTCCGGGTCACAGTAGATGTGCGCCTGCTGAAGGTCAAACTGCAGGGGACACGTATGTCAATTTCACTTCATTGTATCAAACAACTCTGTGTCCTGGCCCCCAGTGAGGCACAGAGATGTCTCTGCCCCAGGATTTGATCTCAGGGTGTTTCTGCTCTGCCCTGGGAGACATCAAAAATAAAGCTGTCACCAAAAACAGAACAAAACTGCACGTGCAGGAGAGTGGGAGAGGCAGGCGAGAGGAGCAAGGGAGGAGGAGGTTCCCTTCATGCTGGGCTTTGAAGTGCCAGTGGACGTTCAGCAGATGAGAATGCAGGGAAAGGCATTCCAGGCAGAGGTAACAGCATAGGCAAAGGCATGGAGGTGTGAAAGAACTAGGTGAGCTGGATGACTAGGACAGAAGTGACCAGAGCCGCGCTGCACAGAGAGATGTAGAGGAAGATGCTGCTGCAGGCACGTATAAGGTCCAGATCGTAAAGGGCCTTGAATGCCAGGTTAACGTGTTCAGGCTGCATCTGGAGGGTGATGGGGAGCCGTGGGAGGACTCTGAGCAAGGGAAAGCCCTGTTCAGTTGTGGACTCTGGGATGCTCACTCAGGCTCCCAGAAGGCAGAATGGGAGGCCAGGGCCCGACCCAGCACTCACCGAGACAGGCTTGCCCTGCTCAGCATCCAAGCCCAGAAATACGTGGCCCACGGGCTTTGTAGGTCGCCGGGGCCCCAGAGGCTGGGATGAGGCTGAGATGCAGTCCACGTGCACAGAGGCCACACGTCCGGCCACGCTCAGCATCAGCTTGTGCCAACGCAGGTCGAAGAGCTGGGGCACCGGGAAGATGCAGGACACGAAGTCGCCATCCTCGCCCCGGGCCCGGAGCTCCAGGCTCCGCTCATGGCTGTTGACTTCCAGGGAAATCTGTGTGGAGTTGGGAGAAGGGGCAGGACGGATGCAGAGATCCTGAACTGCAGCATGACAAAGCCAGGGGCCTTCAAGCTCATTTCACAAGAGGGGAAACTGAGGCCCAGGAAGGGAAAAAAGCTGGCAGGGGTCAGGGAGCAGTGCATCCTGAAAGAAGGAGACAAGTCCTGGTGGGCTGGGGGTCGCCTTGGCGGTGGGCTCTGGATGGAGCGGGAAGACCCCAAAAATCACAAGCTGGGATACAAAATGGGTGGGACTGGTACTACCCAATGCCCCAAGAATAGCAGGGTGGGGGTTCACCTGTGGATACCCATCGCCATCGGTCACTTGAAAGAGATACCACGTGTTCTGGTGGGTGTGTTTCTTCAGCAGCAGGGTGAGCACCAAGGCAAACTCCTCAGGGAGGCCCCGAGGGAACACTCGTCTGCAGGGGGAGCAGGGAGGGCGCCCTGAAGCTCTGGGGAGGGCCGGACACGCCCACCCTGGGCCCTGGGACTGTTGACCCTGCCCCAGATGCACACAGGCACACGCTCCAAGCATCGGATACACGCTCGTTCATCCTCTATGCCTTCATAGAGTGCCTTCTACGTGCCCATGCGGGTCTGGCCGCTGGGGTAACAGTGGTTAGGTACAGGGAGGCGCCTGCCCTCATGCAGCCCTCAAGTCTGATTGTCAAGTCCGACAATCCCCAGAATGACTATTTCACTATTGCATGCAACTTTGGTAAGTGCTTCCAAGGAATCCAGGATGCCTGGGGGTGAATACCTGGGGTGGAAGGAAAGAGGCCAAAAAGCAAAAAAAGATGGAAAGGGTTCAAAATGACTGGAGCAGCAAGAAAGAAAGGAACACTTTGGGAGTTGAGGTCAGAGAGGTAAGCAGGGCCAGACCACCCAGGGACGTGTGGGCATTCGGACTTCACACGTATGGGTGCACACACACACACATGCACGCACACACATGCACGCACACACACACCCCACTCTTGCCAGCTTCCCGCCCACATCCTGTGTTCTCACAGTGCCCATAGGATACAGACCTGTTCCCACCCACCGCTAGCTAGAGACAGGGGAGGGACAGAGGGTGTGTCTGCCAGGCACCCCCTTTCTGCCCCACTGCAAGCCCTACAGGTGGGACAGGTTCACTCCGGGCAGGGGCGAGATGAAATGACCCACAGAGAGGCCCCACACCCAGCATCGCTGGGGAGTGTGGCCGAGGTCAGTGTTGATTCCCAGCTGTCATGCTACTGCCTTTACCTCGTGGGCTGCGTCAGCGGGGCGGCCCCCAGCCGCAGGATGAGTGGCCCCTTGGGGTTGCGGATCTTCTTGATGGCAGATGTCTTCAAGAGGCTGAGTCTGCGGATGAGGTTGAAGCCTCGGGAGGAGACACCAGGTGAGGAGCTCAGCTAGGCAGGGGAGGTGGGGTACAGACCACTCCCCAGAAGATGGTAGAGGGGGACAGTGGACAGATGGGCACTCACCAGTCACATTGGCTGATAAACCGCTACTGTGTTCCAGCTTGAGTCCTTCCTGCTGAGAAAGTGGGCACTGCTCACCTGGAAGGGAATTGGCAGTGGGCATTAGGTGGGCTTGGGCCGAGGTAGCTGCACAGCAGGGCTCCTGGGAACCTGGGAGAGAACAAGTGTATAGCCCCCACTCTGCCTGGAGCCTGCTTTCACCACTTGCCTTCTGGCCCTGGCTACGCAGAGAGCCAGGAGGGCCCCCCACACGCAGTTGGGAAGACTGAGGCCCAGAGATGAAGCCTGGCCCAAGGCCACTAAGTGAGTCAACAGCAGAGCAGGACCAGACTCCAGGAACCCAAATCTTCCAACGCTCCAAGTCAGGGGCCAGGCCAGCGAAGGAGAGAACAAAAGAAACTCTGTGCAGCCCCAGTGCACAGATGGAGCGGGGGAGTGTGTACGTACATGTGCCCCCACCACGATGTACAGCCAGGTAGGGGATGAGGAGCACTTCAGGGGTGAGGAAATGTCAGGCCTGTGTACATTGTGTTATGTACAATTGCATATGTGTGAGTTGGGGATGCCTATGCCACTGGGGGTGACATGTGCAGCTGGTACACATGTTCTCAGCAAAGGTTGAGGTCCAATTTCCTGCATCCAAAGCAGACAAGCAGGATAGATACAAGTTTGGGCCAACAGACTTTTTACCTGAATAACTGTCTTATGAAACAGTGAGAAGAGACTTAGGGTCTGAGGAGACCACAAGCTCCAGGCAGGATATTTTAAAGGAGTAAGGGCTCCTGGAGAAGGGAATAGCTTAATTCAGGTCTCCAAAGCCCTGAAAGGACAGGTGGGCAGCCATGAACCTCCCTCTCCCTGGGGCTGACTGAGCAAAAGTGTTGGGGGAGGACTACAATCAGAAATACAGAAGCCATGATCAAAAAGTCCTTCCCATCAACGCAGAGGGAGGACAAGACAGTGAAGACAGCTCCTAGAAGCTGGCATTGGACTCCCTGGCTAGTCTTGCCGGAAGAAGGACTCCTGGGTCCCTGGGCCCAGTGACCCTACTAGAGTCTCCCTCCCCCAGGTCTGGCCAAAAAGACCATCACTGTCTTCGGCGTCACAGCAGCAATGGGTGACTCACCCCTTGGCAATGGGCCCACATTCCTTACACATGTTGAAATTCTCTGCCCCATCCCCCCAGGGGACCTGGTGAGGGAGAGGAGAGCAAAGCTCACGCACACACATGAAAAAACATGTACGTGCACACACACATGCAGCACACACAACTGGCAGGTGGCCACACACCAGTGCACAAGCCCTCTCGCTTTAGCACCTTGGTTTTTCTGCCTCTTTTAGCTGGATTTGGGGTCTGGGAGTTCTGTTCCTGCTTGGCGAGGTGGCTGAGCTACCGAGCCCAGAGGGCACCCAGCATGGCTGGGCAAGTTGCCCGGTTAACTTCCCCTGGCTCTGGGCCCTGGAAAGCTGCACCCTGTGTCTCATCCAGAGTCTGGGCCTCGGGGCGGGCCCTTTATTGGAGATCCAGGGCCAGCCCTGGAGGAGGACGAGCACGTGAGCCGGAGGATGGACTATCCAGCATGAAGAGGATCAGAGGGGCCGGGCCTCTTTGGGGACGCAGCTTCTTTCTGCAAGGAAAGCTCACTGTTTGCTCCCCCCACCCCGCTGGCCCTACCGGCAATGTGAGCACAGAATGGGTCTGTATGTTGGGAAAAGGGGCTGTTCTGTCCCACACAGAGACGCAGGAATCCGTACAAATGTACAGCACAGGTCTGAAATGCAAGCACGAAGCTGATCAGAGACATAAACATTTGCAGAAACACACACACACTCTCCAGCTCACCTTGCACAGACTCGGGTGTGCAAACAGCTTAGGCCACCCTGATCCCAGCCCCTAGACTCTCCCCTAAATGCCCACATGACTGCACATTCATGGTCATGTATATGCAAAGACCCCGGCACACCAGGGAGCCAGCCGCAGGCCTGTGGCACTCTAACCCTCCTGTGTCATCTCACCTGCATTTGCCCCATGGCTGAAGGTAGCCCAGAGACCGAGCAGCCACAGGCCAGGAGCCCAAGATACCCACATCCTGGTCCAAAGAGGTCAGCTACAGCCACAGCACCTGCAAACCACAGAGACCGGGAAGGGGGATTCCTGAATTCACATGGCACACCTCCACACCTGGGCCAGAAGTGGCCAGCCCATGGGGCCCAGGCACTAGTCTGGGGGTGGCAGGAAGTCTGGCCAACCACAGGCCTTGGGCTAGGATTCGGGCAGAGGTGATATTCAAAATATTTAACCACCGGTATGGCACAGACACGGACTAGGCAGAACAGAATTCTGGCCGGAGCACTGAAACAGGGTCCAGGCAGCATCTGGCTGTGCCAGTGCATAGTTGCTGGATTGAGAAGAGGTCTAGAAGGTCCTAGAAGGCCAGGGAAATTGGGATAGTGAGGGGGCTTCAGGAAGAGGCTATTCATTAAGACACTTGGAATATTTTAACAGCTCGTGCCCTGTACTGGTGTATGCCAGCCTAGTGCCTGGCTAGCTGCACCCAGCTCAGCCCAAACAGCCCTGCCAGGCACCCACAAGGGCAGGGGCAACTGGGCTGAGTCTCCTGGAAGGTCTCCTAGGGCTGTAGTGGGCCAAGGAAGCTCCCCCCATGGGTACCGTGGGTGGGAGAGCAGGTCACCAGGGCTCAGGACCTCATTGCCAAGCCCTCTGCTGATGGATGCTCGTCTTTTAGTTTTATTAAACCCTGATGGATGGCCGCAGATAAATCGATGCAGGCTTAGCAAGCAGCCAGCAGGGCCATACATCATCTGGGCTTCCCCAAGACAGGCAGCTCACACGCACTAACGCAGAGCCATGCATGTGTCAGTATAACAGACTCGGATGCACAGGTACATATACATATAGACACATATGTGGCCCAGCATGCATACAAACATACCTGCACACAGGCATGCTCACAGACATACCCAGATATACCAGCTTGTATATACACACATGCACACAGCCAGCCCATGACCACCCCTCCAGCAGGCCTTCCTGTTGGGAAGTTCTTTAAGCAAGTCTGACCTCATTCCTTCCGACTGTAAAGGAATCCTATTGCTCTTCCCTCAGTTGTGGATGGGGAATGAGAACAGAAAGGACCCCTCACCCCAGTATATTTGGCAATATATTGGACTCCAGCCCCTTTCTCCCTGGCACAGAACCACGCCCCACCCTACTCAGCCCCCATCCTCCTGGTGCACACATCCCACCTCTCAAGCCCTATCCCGGCCTTCCCCTCCCGTCAGCCAATGGAAGGGCTGCCAACTACAAGAGGCATGTGGGTACATGTGGAGGCGTGAACATGGATGTGCTCGAGTCCCCTCCGGCTCCCAATCTCTGGCCTCCGCTCCCCAGAACCCAGCCAGAGTGGAGAGCTACAGGGATAGAGAGAAAGAAGCTTCCAAGGAGATGTCTCACCTCAAGACAGAGGCATAGATTTGGAAGCAGGGAGAGTCAGAACCAGGATGGAATTTAGAGCTCATCCTGCTATAAAGAAAGTGACTGAGGCCCAGAGAGGGGATGCTACTTGCCCCAGGCCACACAGCAAGTCTGGGGGAGAAAGGGCCCATCAGTCCAGAGCCCTGAGGCAGCCCACTGCGTCTCCACTTACTCCACTTACCGGTGGCCTGGGATCCCCTCAACTCACTGAGCGATCCGGGAAGCCCCAGCAGCCATCCAGGGGAAGCAGGGCTAGGGTTCCTCAGGCCCTCTGGGGGTCCTCCATCTCTCGCTGCCGGCCACTGGTCCCCAGCTTCCTGGCTCTGGATCTCTCCCGGCTGAGTGCTGCCCGGCGCACGCCTGCCAGGACTGCCGGCCACTCCGGGTGGGGGAAGAGGGGTGGATCCAGGGGGCTGGGGGCCTGCCAGGGCCGCTAATGGAACACAGCTGGACCAGCCGCCAGGCAGGGGAGGAGGAGGGCCGGGAGGGGGCTCCAGAGGCAGAGGCAGCCGGCCTGCGGGGCGCACAGCCCCGCCCCTGGCCTGGCCCAGCTCCCAGGCCCGCCCCTTCCACCTCCCCGCCAGGTGAGCCAGCAGGAACTAGGCAGGACCCTGCGTGCCTGGAGCTGCCCTAGAAGGGGGCACCTGCGGGCCCTTTAAGAGCCAGGCCTGGGGTTGGAAGTGCCCCCCCTTCCACTTCCCTGGCTGGGCCCCCAGAAGCCTGCGGGGGAGGGGGGTAAAGACCCTCCTCCCCAGTTCCGTGGCACCCATGACGTGGCTAATGCCCAAGCCTCAGTGGTCAGCTTTTTCCAGATCCCAGGCCTGACGTTCCCAGTCAGTCTGTCCCTCCGTCTGTCTGCACTGGGGGTGGGAGGGATGGGGGGATGTGGGCTAAATTAACCCCTTCGGCTCTGGCCTGACTCCCAGGGAAGTAGGGCCGAGGGAGCCAGCTTATTCCTCCTCCTTACTCCATGAGGTTAGACAGTCGCAAATCCCTGGCCCCTGCTCTAGCTTCGTGGCTTGGAATTTAATATTTAACCATAACTCCACTTCTCTTCTGTAAGATGGGCTTGTGATACTGCATGCCTCGTAGACCTGTGTGGCGAGAGGAAGCGAGTTAGTCTGTAAGTGCTTAGCACATGGTCGGGCATGCAGGAGGAGCTCCCAGAGCATTTGCGCTGTTATCATTATCACTGTGGTCCCTGCGGGGGAGGGGTGCGGGGGGGGGGGCTTCAAGCCTTTACACCAGTGATGGGGAGGACGTTGCTTCCTATTCAGGTCCCAGGAAGAGGAATTGAGGTTAGATGAAAGATTGGACTTCTGAAGAGGAAAAAGCAGGTAATGTGTCCAGTTCTATCCAGAAGCAGAGGGGGCTGATCATGGTGACCCCCAACCAAGGGTCTCCTCCTAGAGGCTGCAAACAAATTTCTTGGCACCAAGGCTGGGGTTCCCCGGAGGAAGGGGCCCTTGAGCTGTGGGAGGTGAAGGGGGAGCAACTGGAGTGCCCTGCCCGGGCTTCCTGCCCATGGAAGCTCCATGTAGTGGCCCAGTGGCCCCGTCTCACCCGGCACCAGGGGTGGAGGGAGGGCGGGCCTGGATTTCCCGCCTCAGCCCCAGAGCCGCTGAGTCAGTGGAAACCCCAACCAGCCATGGAGGCGCCCCACTGTGGTCCCTGCGAGGAGCCGGCCCAGATGTGGTGGTGGCAGCGGTGGCTGGGCCTGGGAAGCGCTGAGTCAGCAGGCGGGAAGTTGGGGGTGGGGCTCCCTGAGGGGTGGTGGGAGGCACAGCTGCCTGCTCATGAGGGTGCTGCCTCAGTGGTGGCACTTGGGAAAAATAGGAAACACATACAGGTCGGGCTCTATTCTAAGAACTTCACGTGCGTAACTGACTCCTTTAGTCTTTACGATAACGCTACGAGACAGGATTCTATTCTCATCCCCATCTTCACATGGGGAAACCCGGGACACAGGGATGCCACAGCGTGCTCAGGATCACACAGCCAGTGGGAGCAGCGCGGGCGTCACACCCAGCTGGCCTGGCCTCAGAGCACATGCTCCTGACCATGTGCTGTCCTGGCAACTCCCACCCTCCCCTCTGGTGCCCCAGGCAGGAAGCCACCACTGGGCCAGAGCAGCCCAAGGCAGGGATGGAGGAACCTTAGGAGGGGGAGTCTAGATGCCTTCCCGTAGCACCTAAGGGTGCTCACAAGAACAGCCAAGCCTGGGATACGCCCTAGTCCTGTATACGCTGTCACAGACAGTCCAGAAACGCACTCACAGCCCTTCCTCGCTCTGCCGGGTAAGTGTGCACGTCCAGAAACATGCAGTCAGGTGTGTTCCCTCACGCTGCTTGGGCGTGCAGACAGCACTTGCACATATACTCATGTTCACACAGAAACACACTGACCTTAAACACATTTACACATAGACACGTGTGCACACATGGTATACCTCCACATACACAGGTACACAAAGACACACATATATATACATATATATATATGATCACATATATATATATATATGATCCCAGATGACCCCACAGAAATATATCCCTGGACATACCCAAACACAGACACATGCATAATTTTCAGAATGCACATATACGGCACTGCATGTATTTGAAGGTGCACACACAGATACATACATGTACAAACAAGCATGAGCAGACAGGCATACACATAGAAACACAAGACATGTACCCACAGGCATAATTACTCATATGCAAGCAGGGAAGCCTGCAGTTCTGTGGCACATATATGTGTGCACGCAGACACAGATGGCCACACAGACATGCACACACTGACACGCAGACACATATACAACATAGGGCTATTTACATGTTCTGGGTCATTCAGCCCCAGAGAGCCCTGCATGCCGGCAAGCTGGGTATCCCGTGGGGCTGGGCTCAGTGCCCTCACCCCAGATGGCAGCGCCGCAAGGTAATCAATGCTGCTAATCGCCACCAGCTGCCCTGGAGCCTGCCTGCCGCTGCCGGGTGGGGCTACCAGGGCAGCCTGGGGTAGTATGCCCAGATGTTGACAGTGCCGGAGGGGCCTCCCACTACCCCAGCCGAACATGGGGGAGCCTTATCTGGCAGGGGCGGTCCCTGGGGCTGGGGGAAGGTGAAGAGCCAAAACAGGGCCTTGTCCCAGGACATCCCAGGAGCCCCCATGCATCCAAGCAGAGGTGGTCTGAATATCTTAGGCTTGCACAGTAGACTGGAACCTCCACATGCACGTATGCACATGGGTGCACACACACACACACACACCCAAGCAGAGGTGGTCTGAATATCTTAGGCTTGCACAGTAGACTGGAACCTCCACATGCACGTATGCACATGGGTGCACACACACACACACACACACACGGACATCTCACACATGATAGATTACTCTGCACAGATCTGCACCTCCCTGTTCCTCATCCTGGTAAATGCTGCCATATTTCATTCAGATTCTCAGGCCAAAAACCTAAGCTTGGCTGCTTCCCTTCCTCTACCACCCCCATCTCATCCTGTCAATGCTACCCCGCAAAACAGCCCACATCCATCCACTTCTCTCCACCTCCGCTATGACCACCCTCACCCGAGCCACCGTCATCTTTAGTCTGCACTGTGGCAAGAACCTCCCAGCTGATGCACCTGCCACCTTGGGGTCCACCACCCTTAGTTCCCACCTGGCTGCCAGGAAGACTTTCCCAACCTGTGTCTGTTGGTTTTGCTCTCTTCCATCTTCTGGTTCTCTGTAAACCCCAGAGTCTTTCCTTTGGCTTTGCCCAGTCCTGTGTGGTCTGGCCTCTCCTTTCTGCCCAGCCTCTCTCTGCCTTTCTGCCCAGCCACCTCACCCCAAAAGCCGTGGCTCCCTCCCGTCTTTTCTCAGCCCTGAATGCCCCAAGTCGGTTTTCCTCTTGAGGCTGTGCACCAACTCTTCCCTCTGCAGGGAAGGATTTGTCCCTAGTTTTTGCCTGGCTGGCTCTTTGATACCCTCCTAAGGGTATCAAAGGAGGGTGTCGCCTCCTAAGCCAGTTCCTCAAAATGGCCTTCCCTGACCACCAGATTAAAGGAGTCCCCAATCGCTCACATGACCCTGTTTTAAATCTCTGCGTAGCTTGAGTATTTGCTTGTTGTCTTTTCCACTAATGAGCATGAAGTCTCCAAGAGTGACCTGTCCATTCCATTGTCACCACTGCCCCACGGCTGAGCCTGGCACCCCCAGGATGGGTGACTAGTGAATTGGTACATGCACACGAGCCCTGTCCAAGCTCTCAGACACAGACACACACCTGCAGGAGGGGCGCCATCAGCACACACACGAACGCGCACGTGTGCAAAGTTGCCCTACTGCTTCTGGGTCATAGGAGAAACCGAGACGAGAGGACCAGGGTCTCTCTGGGTGCCTCTGTACTGTCTCCATATGATTCCCAGCTGTCTCTCTTACTGTCTCTTTCCTTTGCTTTCTGTGTAAAGCCTCTCTGGTTCTCTTTCTTCCTCCACACCCTTGTGCGTCCCTCTCCCCAGCTCTGTCTCACCTATGTCATGGTTCCTCTGTTTTTGCATCTGGGTCTCTAACTCTGCATCTCTGTCTCTTTGTGTCTTGGTCTCATCTTTGTCTTTTTCTCACACTTTCTGCATCTTTATGTCCGTGTCTCCTCTCTCTCTCTTTTATCTCTGACTTCGCTGTCACTCTCCCTCTGCTTCTGTGTCTATCTCTCTGTGCATATCTCTCTGTCTATATCTCTGTCTGTCCATGTCTCTGTGTCTGGGTCTGGTCTCCATCTCTTTGCCTCTGTATCTCTGCCTCTTTCTGTCTTTCACTCTCCCCCATTCCCTCCCTTGCCCTAAATCAGCCCTCCTACCACATCTCCACGTCTCTACGGCTGTCCATGTCCCTGTGGCAGGGAGACCCATTTTTCACCTCTAGCTGGCAGCTTTATGGTCCTAGTGGGATGGCAAGTGTTCCTCTCTGCTAATGCCCCACCTCCCCTGCAGGGCCATGGCGAGCTCCTCTTGGATGCCCGGGGCGCTGGCAACTTTCACCAGCCACCCAGGCCCGGGCAGGGCGTCATACTTCTAGCAGTTCATGTTACCAGGCACGTGCTGGGTTTGACCACCCTGGAGCTTCTGGAGAGGTGAGCCCGGACCCTGATGGGCATTGCTGTGGACGTGGCAATGGCCAGGGCAGGTGGATGCTGGGGAAAGGAGATGCTGCAGGTATCCTGGGCCCCCCTGCTCACCTGCTCTGAGGGACTCATACAGTGGTGGCAGCCACAAAGCCCTGGGTTCCCGTCTCACTTCTCCCCACTGTGGGACCTGGGCCCCAAACCCCACTGCACCATGAGGTAAACTGGGGGACCCCAGCTTAACCCTTCTAGCCTGGCGTGTTAAACATCTAATGGGAACTTGCAGGCTGGGCGCGGTGGCTCACACCTGTAATCCTAGCACTCTGGGAGGCCGAGGCGCGAGGATTGCTCAGGAGTTCAAGTCAAGCCTGAGCAAGAGCAAGACCCC